CTATAGATATTTATGCTGAGCCTTGCTGGAATCTCTCAAAGGTCCTCTGCCAAACAGCATTCCTCTTTCTTCCTGGGTTCTGACCAATTAGGGAAAAAAAGTAACCTTCATTAGTCCTATATTGGCTAGGTTCATGGGTGTGAGTTTAGGTTGTTGGTTTAGTGAATTTGCTAATACTGAGCTCCAGAATTAAGCAAACTTACTGCCCAAGGCACTGCAAGGTAATCGAGTTAGACCTTTCCAGCCCTGCATTTTTTACCTTCCACCCTGGAAGAGAAAGCTTACTGTATTGACTCCATAGAAAAAGGACGAGCAAAATGTCGACTTTCTCACAGGGGCAGAGCTTCCAGAAGGAACAAAACTGAAAACAACATGAAACTCCTCTTTCAGTTTTCATGTAAAAAAAAAAAAAAAAAAGGGTGGAGTTGAGCTGAACCTGACTCATTTTCTTTCCCAAAGTTACCAAACACTTCCAGCTCCTCTGTGGTGATGTAAGTTAAAGGAATAGAGAGAGGCCAATAGTATACTCGGCCTTTCTCACAGAAGCTGGGAGTAGGGAAAAGGTATTCTTCCTCTCTAACATTTCCTAGCTTTTTGTTCACTTAATTATTAACCTGTTTTTTGGAGATTTATCTGGATGGTTCTTTTCCTTTCTTCACGAGGCCATTACCTTCTTTTGGGTATTCTCTTTGGATTGTGGAAGAACTTTAGATGTTGACCGTGGAAGATTCTACTTTGGAGTTAGAACAGAAGATTAAAATTAAATTTTAATTTTAATTAATCATAAATGAAAGGAAGAAATGTCATTGTTTATTATACTTCCCATTCCAAATTATCTCTAGATGTAGAGCCTTTGATGTACTGTACTGAATAAAGGTATTTGGCAATACATAAAGATGTTTCAGCAGTAAAATGCCAACAAATTTGAATATAAAGATCTTCTGTTTTGAACATCTCAGGGAACCTTAAGGTTGAAAGATTAAAACCCTTTATAAGTTAAAGACCAAGGACTGAAAGATTTAAATGTCCAGAATCATTTTTTTTTGTGCTTCTGAATTTAAAAGTCTAAAGGCCAAAATTTTTAAGTTAAAGTCCCAAATACGCATTCTCAACATCCTATTATGTTCAGATGCAGTCAGATTCTTTGGTGGAGTTGGAGTTCTTTCATCAGCTGTAGCTTGAGCTGTCTTCCATGGAAAGGAAGTACCAGTTATATGTTCTCAGAAACTATATTAGTTCAATGCCAAAGTACTGGTATACATTATCTTTTAAAGCATTCAAAAGTTAGTAGTACTTTATGCTTAGCACATTACTAGACCTGTTTCAACTTAGAAAAATTGCCAATGCTTGATCCCTGTTGCAGTAATTTCAGAAAATAAAAAATTTCTATTACCTAGTACTTAGCACTGCCAAAGATCGATTGAGCAGTCTCAGTGGTATGGGGGCAGGGGAAGAGAGTAGCCTGAGATGATGGTCTTCTTTTCTTAAAACTTTCCAGTAGACCAATCTCTGTTGATTATCCAGAATCTGACTTGCTTCACTTTAATTGAAATGGAGAAAATATTTCAGCAAGAGGCTAATTTTGGCACTAAATTTGAGGAATGTTTCTATGATTATGTCACCCTGTGATGGCATTGCTGCCTTATGTGCAGGGGTAACCTGGTCTGCCCTGGTTACTAGCTCTTATTTGACATGTTTTCCTTCCCCATCCAGTACATTCAAAACCTCAACTTTTATTTCTTCTTTGAATCCCATGTTTTCAGCATTCCAATACTGAATTAAGTTTGGGCTTTATGTAGTGACTGTTATGGGTTGAATTGTGTTCCCCTAAAAAGATATGTGAGATTCTAATTCCCAGTATCTCAGAATGGAACCTTTTCTGGAAATAGGGTCTTTGCATTTAACCGAGTTAAGTTATTAACTTGTTATTTAAGTTATTAGGGTGAACCCTAATCCAATATATATTTATAAAAAAGGGAAATTTGGATACAGATATGCATAGAAGACAAGGTGAAAATTAAAAGGAAGAATACCATGTGATAAAGGAGGCAGAGACTGGATTTATGCTGCCACAAGTCAAGGAATGTCGGCAGCTACCAGAAGCTTAAGGAGACAGGAAAGATCCTTCCTCTAGCACTTTCAGAGGCAGTATGATCCGACTGACCCCTTTATTTCATCCATCTTGTCTCCACACTGAGATAATTTCTGTTGTTCTAAGCCATCCAGTTTGTGGCACTTTGTTAAGGCAACCCTGGAAATTAATACAGTGACATGGAGTCCACACATAGCTGTGAGCAAACCTTTTTCTTGTTGTTACAGAAGCAGTTGGCAAAATTCCATCCCTTATGGAATTTCTCAGATTTATGAAACCTGTCTTACAGGAGAAGGGTCCTCCTTCAATCCATATTTGTTTTGGCTACAGACTCTATCCCAACAGATTCCTGAATGGAAGCTGCTTTTGTTGCTTCTGAAGTTTGTTTCCTTAATACTAGGAGGTGGGATTAGGAAGAATTCCGGCCTATAGACAAACATAAATTCAGAGCTATTATTTCCACAGTTCTCCGTGAGGTTTTGACAAAGTAGTGAAGTTTTAAAGCAGGCATATTGTGTGCTTCACATAATCTAAATGAACACTCATGAACTTCTGGTTTTCTTAAAAAATGAACTCTAACAGATTGATAATCAATTATAGTACCTACATGTATTTGGGAGAAGTAGTAGTCCCAGTAATCCTCTGTTTGATGGAGAAATCTTACCTGTATTTAAAACATTTAGGAATCAAAGATGTTAATTATAACCTTGTTACCAGGGCAATACATTAACAAGTGAGGCAGCTAGTCAGAGTTATAGACTCTTTTGAAGGTGGAAGGTCAGAGGCTATGACATTAAATAGGCTGTGGTGCCAAAATAGGATCCTTTTGTTCAGTTCATATTTCCAAGAGTATGTTTACATAAACTGATAACCAAATAACTTAGTAACTGTTGTGAATATTCACACCAGTGAATAATATATGAGAGATAAATATTTTCATCTCTGTGGCCTACCTTGTTCTCTAAATGATGTTTTCCAACAGAGTTCTTTCTTTTGTTAAATCCCATGCTCATGGATTGAGAAAATCAATAGGTTATTTTATTTTAAGTTCTGGGCTACATGTGCAAGATGTGCAGGTTTGTTACACAGGAAAATGTTTGTCATGGTGGTTTGCTGCACCTATCAACCTGTAAATGTTAAACTCAGCATGCCTTAACTGTTTTTCCTTATGCTCTCCCTCCTGCCGCCCCACCAGGCCCCAGTATGTGGTGTTCCCCTCCCTGTATCCATATGTTCTCATTGAACAATAGTTTCTAATTTTAAGATTGTCCAACTTAGCAGTTGTCTTTTATGGTTAGAGTTTTTTTATAATCTTGTTTATTGCTTATTTCTTATTGCATGGTCATGAAGATGTTCTAATATATTATGTTCTAGAAACTTAATTGTTTTCAATTTTCGTTCCACCTGGAAATGGTGTTTGCGTATGGTATGAGATGGTTAGTATGAAGTAGTGAGGTTTTGTTGTATTTCTTATGAATATCCAGTTGAACAGTATAGATTAATTGTAAAGATTATCTTCCCCTTTCTTTACTGCTTTGTGTTCTACCTTTATTGTAAATCAGGTCATGTGTATAGGTCTGTTTCTGGATTCTCTTCAGTTCCATCTGTGTTGGACTTTTGTGTTAAATCCAATGGTAATAGAGTTTTATTAGCTTTCTTTTGGTTAATGTTTGTGTGGTAGATATCTTTTCTTTTTATTTCCAACTTTTTTATAGCCCTTTATTTAAGGTATATCTCTTAAAAGTATAATATTTTTGGGCAGCATATAGTTTTAAAAATGATTAACCTACCCGACAGTTCAATTTTTTCTTTTTAATTTTTGTGGGTACATAGTAGGTGTCAATACAGTATGTGAGACGTTTTGGTACAGGCATGCAATGTTAAATGAGCACATTATGGAGAATGGGGTGTCCATCCCTCAAGCATTGATCCTTTGAGGACAATCTGACTTTTAACTGGAGTTGTAGAGGAGGCAAAACTTTACCTCTTCCCTTTTAGAGTTAAATTGACATAGATCAACTGGAGAAAAGCACACAAATTTCTTTAATACAAGTTGTACATGACACAGGATCCCTCATAAGAAAATGAAGACCCAAAGAAGTAGTTAGGGTCAGTCAGTTATATACTGAATTGGACAAGGAACAGTTAAGTTGTGAAATAAGATAAGGCAAAGAGGCTTTAGGCTAGGGTAGTTAATTGGGTGGAGAAATGACTAGGAAGATAAGAGTTGGTTTAACAAAGTCTGGTTGTACAGATTTTCTTGATTTTTAACTCCCCCCCCCTTGATTATAAGATTACTTCCCTTTTGGTATAGGGAGGACATCTTTCACACGGGAATTTCATTTCCTGCTTTTAGGAAACAGAATGAAGGTCAGAGTGATCTTGTACCTGTTGTTTTTTGTTAAGCGCCCTTGATTTAAAATAGTCAATATGTCAGAGCAGCATATTGGGAGGGTGACATATTCTTACCTCTTTAGAGTATATAATATATTTTACTTTTAATGTAATTATTGATATGTAACTTTTAATCTATCACCTTACTTTGTGTTTTCTGTTTTTCCTTCTTGTTCTGGGTCTCTCTCTTTCTGTCTCTCTCTCTGGATTGATTAAAATGAAAACATTATAGCCTCCCTCCCCCACTTAGCTTAGTAGTTATATATTCTTTCACTGCTCATTTAGTGGTTACCTTGGAAATGATGACGTGCATTCTTTTTGTTTATTTTAGAGACAGAGTCTCCCTCTCTTGCCCAGGCTAGAGTATGGTGTTGTGGCCATAGCTCACTGTAACCTCCAACTTCTAGGCTCAAGCAATTTCTCACCCCAGCCTCCAGAGTAGCTGGGATTACAGGCACACACCACCATACCCAGCTAATTAAAAATTTTTTTGTAGACATGGAGTCTTGTAACATACGATATTTTTAAAAAACATTTCCATAATTATTAAAATGAGATGGTAAAAACATCATCAGACTTTATTATTTATAAATGAATAATACTATCAGGCACATGGTTCCTCTCAGAATGACCTTTGGTACTTTGCTCCAAAAAAGGCAGGCAAATAACTACGTATATTCTACAAAGCAAAATAGGGATACAGAGCTTTGAGGATGACTACAGCAATGATTTGCATTTTCTTGACCAAAATAATATTAATTCCTTAGGTGTTCATGGCAGGGAGAATAAATGACCTTTATCTTCGATCCTTGTCAGAAACACACTAGATAGGATTGTTTGAAGTGATTTAATCTATTTTTGGTCCTGTTTTCATAAGCATGGAATCTCTCTTTAGAACCTTGTAGATACTTTCTGTTAGCCATATTGCAATATATTAATTTGTGGCAGTTATTTATATTTGCACCCCATGGTCTTTAAGGATCCAGATAACTTTGGGAAAGTGAGGTCCTCACCTTAATTTCAGCATTCGACCAGAAATTGGGGGTTCTTTCTTTCCTGAACACTCTCGTGGACATATGAAATGTGTTTGGGTTATCTTTTCCTCACTCCTTTCCTTCATATTTTGATCCTGTTCATTGTTAGCATATCTGCATATTCCTTCTTTCTTGAATATTAATAGTCCAAATTTCATGTACACATTAATTCAAGAGTTTTTTTTTTTTCCTTGTTCTCAAAGATGGAACAAGTATAGCAGAGAATCACTGGAATGGGAGATCCAGGTTATTCTTTTACTAGCTTTCTGACCTTTTGGCAGGATATTTGATATTAATTTAAGTAATCTATAAAAAGGAAGAGCTTGAGTAAATGATCTTCAGGCTTTTCTCTGGAAAATTCTTTGATCATATTCAAATGTGTAATTTTATAAACAGGTAAATGTTTAGTGAGGAAGTTAAACAATATTGCCTTTGGTATAAATAACAAATGCTTATTTATGTGTGTAAGATATTTAAACTGTTAAACACATGAAACAGATTGTGAGATACGGAAAATACATGTTTTCTTTTATAGGTGTTTATTTTGTCTTGCTTTTTTTTTAATGAAGTCAAAATGCCAATAAGACCAGATCTCCAGGTATGTAGTCCTAGACCAAAAGTATTTTAATTCTGAAAATCACCTTTTGTTTACTTACAGGTATTCAGTGTTATGTTTTTAGCAATGACAAAGCTTACATGTTTTTATGAAATGGTCAAGAATAGTTTAAAGTGTCCATTGATTCATGCGTAATTTATGCTTGGATATTTTTGTATTAAGTTTTAGAAATTAAGATATTGTATATTTAGGTAAAGTGTAAGTGTTAATAATCTATTCAATATGTATGTAGTTCACAGCCAAACCTGTTTAGTGATCAGGTTGTAGTGTGAACATTTGTTATTAATGAAGTTGTACTTTAATAGCAAGGATGGCAGATTTTATTAAGGTTATAAATATTATATAAGGGTAATGCTTAAGTTATGTTAGCATAATTTCTAAAAGGTGCTTTTGCCTGTCTTTATGCATTTTTTTCTTTACTGTTTAAACCCTGTTGAGAGATTCGTAGTCAGGTATACTAGGCTTTTATTCATTGTATTAAGTATTAGTTACTTTAAAGTTTTTTTGATTTTCATCAAGTTTCTGTTGAGTTTGACATAAAGGTGACTTTGGTAATAAAAGATATGAATTGGAAATATTAGTAAAATATTTTTTAATCAGTCTTATTATCAAAGAAATGTAATTTCTAATTCAGTTGTTCCAAATTTAATAGTGGCCATATTTTTAAAAAATAAGTGAATTAATAATTTGAGTTCATTTGAGAGTTTTCATGTGGAAACAGTTCTCAAATTACTAGATTGCATAGGTAATTAATTTTGGTTTTGATACAATATGTGCCATTAAATATATTTCTCTAGCACTTGGAAAAATGCATTGATGATGCTTTAAGAAAAAATGATTTCAAACCTTTGAAAACACTTTTGCAAATTGATATTTGTGAAGATGTGAAGATTAAATGCAGCAAACAGTTTTTCCACAAGGTGGACAACCTTATATGCAGGGTAAATATTCATTTTTGCTCAATGGTTGTTACAATTATTAGATAGAACTCTAGTTTTAGAAGGAAGTACTCCATTAGAAAAAAATGAATAGAAAGGCTTGGGCAAGCTCAGTTATGATTACATAAATAAATGCTTATTTCACCATATGCTTATTTTTGTTTGTTTGCTTGAGGAATTTGAACATATTGGAATGTCATTTCCCAAATAAAAAATACAAAAATATGTGTTCACATGGGGTTTACCATCAACTGTGGCTGAAATTGGGGAAAAAATACTTCAGCTCTTTGAAGTTTAAACAAGTTGATAGATTTTTTAAAAAACCTATCAGTGTATACTTGATGTTACATAGACAATGCCTACTTCTGTCAAAACTAAAACATAAAAAAATCACCCCAAACTTTAAATTTAATTGATCATATTTAAGGCATTTTCATACATGATAAAAGGTGATTATTGATAATCCCCCCCAGTATCTGAGATTCTTTATGAATCCAAGAAATTGAATAAAAATTTATTGTTTCTGTTAAATACATGGAGCTTTTTAGAATGGAAAGTAGCTGGTTCATTGTATCATAGTATAAAGTTTCTTGAATTTATACAGATTTCCATTTTTGTCCTGAGTTTGTCATTCCCTGACTGTATGACTTTGGGCAGGTCGCATTCTTAAACCACATTTTCATCTGTTGCAATATAGAGATGATTAGAATGACCATCTTTCAGGATTTGTGAAGATTAAAATATGTGTGCAATGCTCCTTGTACAATGTCTGTTTCATACTGTTTTGTGTTTACAGAAATTTTAATGTATAGCTTTTATTTCAGGAACTTAATAAAGAGGATATCCACAATGTTTCGGCCATTTTGGTTTCTGTTGGAAGATGTGGCAAAAATATCAGTGTATTGGGGCAAGCTGGACTTCTAACGATGATAAAACAAGGACTAATACAAAAGATAAGTATAGAATATGTAACATATTCATGTGAATGAAATATTATAAAAGATACGCTTTCTAATAAGAAATTATCCAAATTGTTGAAAATAAATTTAGGAACTTTATGTACAATTTTGGGAATAAAACATTTCTATAACTTGTGATATATGTTACAAATATAAAGATCACAAGAAAACTATACAAAGACAGACTCCTTGATAATCATGTGAGTTTAAGCTCCTTAAGGCTTTTACTTGCTTTATTGACTCTTTAACTCTTCTTATTCTCTAACTTCATTTTTTGTTTTTATATTGTTTATCTGTCTCCCATGCTAGAATGTAGGATATTGATTTTTGTCTGTTTTGTTCATTGCTACATTATTGGCACCTAGAATAGTATCTGAGATGTATGTACTCAAATATCTGAATTGATTAGGGTAAAATAATATGAAAACTTTTCATATAGTAACAGTATCAAAAATGATCTAAATTGTGATGATAATTTACTTCTTTCTATTATAATAAATGTACCCTAACTAGGAATTTGAAGGGGAAATAAGGATCTGCTACATGGAATCAAGATTAACTCCATCTATTCCCATTTTAAACAATGGGAAAAGATAGTTTAAAAAAAAAAAAAAGATCTTTAAAAACATGAATTTATTTTGATACAATACTAAAATTTTAGTTTTAGTGTGTCTTTATTCCTAGGCTTACTGTTTATACAAAGACAAGTACATTCTTAAAATTATTAAAATGAAACTCAAAGTAATAAGTTCATTCCTCTTTTTACATGGTTGCCTGGTTTGAAAAATCCAAGGAGATTATTCAGAGTCAAGGAAATTCAAAAGATGAAGCTGTTCTAAATATGATAGAAGACTTAGTTGATCTTCTGCTGGTAAAAATCACATTGATTACACTGATGTTTATAAAGCATGTGTTTATTTAAAAAACAATTTGTGATCTCTGTGCCCTGAGCCTAAAAGTCACTAACAGATTGGTTGGTGCCTTGGTTGGATTGGTCTGTTCAGATTGTATAAAGCATTTATTCTGGTAAATATAATTAAATGGTTAGTTAATAAAAAATAAATATGCTATGAGTTAAAATGTAATCTGTCATTTCAGTACCATTTGTAATGGTTTATAATATTGTAATGGTTTATAATATATAGTAACTTGTAAATTAAATATTATTCACTTTTTTTCAGGTCATACATGATGTCAGTGATGAAGGTATAATAAACACTTATTTTCTATTGGAACAATAAATTACCGTTAGAGCTTTAGTATAATTTTACAATTCCCATAGTCTTGTCCTAGTATTAAGAACCCATTATCTGATTCAAGGATCAACAAACTTTTCCTGTAAAGGGCCAGATAGAAATATTTTAGACTTTGTAGTCCAAGAGAAAAACAATTAAGAATATTATGTAGGTACTTGTATAACAAGAAAGAAAAACAAATTTCTACAAATAATTTATTGATGCCATTGAAAATATAATAGTTGTACAATTTTTTGTAATATAGGTCTACTAATAAGGAAACTTGCATTCTTTTTGTGAGAGAATAACATTTCACTTAATTAGGGTTCAGAGTTAGTGTTTTGTTTGCAAAATTGATTGTAAATGTTCATTTGTTAATCCCTATCTATAATGAGGTTTTATGTATGTCACATTAGAAAATGGCTTTTCATGCAGACAATGCCAAATACTGATATCACTGCATAAGCATGCTTTTAATTGAGCGTGTTCATCACTTGAAAGGCATTAATAGAATTGTTAGGTTCTTAACATTTGCATTTTAGAATGTCATTGCATTGCAGATTAATCACTTCCAATTGAAGGTTATGTGGAAGCTTCCCAATTGCACAATTAAATGAATTTTGAAATGTGGAAATTTCCTTAGTACTTAAAACAAATCCAGAAACACTGCTAGACCTGTAGTTGGAGTTTTGAAAAAATCTATCCCCTGCAAATTTGTGTGGTAATGGAGATGTTGCTTCCTGTTTTAACTTTTGACAGTCTGTGAAGTGTATAAAGCAGCATAGCATTACTTGACTTTCAGATCACCTTAGTTATCAGAATGACTTCATTGCAGTGTTCATGATACAAGCATTATTTTTTCTTGTAATTTTGTGCCCAATTCATTTAGAAACATTGTCAACTCTGCAGCCAGTGCTAATTGCCAAAGCCATTCAGTATTCAACAATAAGGGTTGAGGATAGTTCTTGTTCAGAAAAATTTTGGTCTTGGTGCTGGATATCAAAAAGTCACAATAAAACCCCACTGCCATTGGACTGCTGTGTGGTAGGGAAAGTCGGAATACTCAGTTTCTGCTTCTGACAAAAATTCAAATAACTGACCATGGCTAAATTGACGAGAGTGAGTGATGTTCACCTTTGACAGTACTGTTTTAATAAAACATGATAGATTCAAATAGTTTTCACAGAGCACTTGCTGGTTAGTAATACAGTCATGCAAAAACAGGCAGTGAGTTACATTTAGTTTGTGGGCCATAGCTTGCCAACCTTTGATCTAATGGAACAATTTTTCAATAGTAAATTGAGAATACAGAATATGTTACTACTCATTCTTTGACTTGTGGCCTGCTTGTGCCAAACAATCAGATCCAAGTTATTTTAGCTCTGTGTTGACTGAAGAAGACTTACCTAGGATTGGTCAGTGAGGGTGGTGAATTATTTATAGATAAAGTACTTGCTGCCTTCAGAGCCAAAAAGTTTTAAACAGATTGCCATTGATTTAAATAATAATTAATCCTACCTCTTCATTGATTGATTTTACTACATAACAATGTTGTTTAAATTTTCAAGTTTTTAGGGAAAAAACAGTCCTAAACACCAGCAATTAATTATAAAGTGATCCACCTGATTTTTAAAGTAAATAATTGTATCTTTTCATCTGAGTACTTTTTTTCTTTTTATGTAGTCACTTTGGAAAATTGTACATTTGTTGTTACAGTATTTCCATTGTTTAAAGTTATTTTTAGAATTTGCATTATGAAACAGCATGTACACATTCCTCTGAATATACTCAGTATTGATAAAGCCTCATCTTTCAAAAATGCGTTAACCTAAAAGTGGCTCACATCATTTAGAACTTCATTGGGGTTAAGATGTGTTGGTCTTAATAAGTATAAAAATTTTTGATGTTTAACTAAAAATTAATGAGATCAGTTTTGGTAAAAGCCTCAGATTTGAACTTTTCAATTTTGAACTATATTTACTTAATCTAAAAAGAAAATACCTCCTTATATGCCTGCAGTTAGAAACTAGATCTAGAGTTGTCCCTTGACAGTATTAAAATTGATCTCCTGACCTCTTGATCCCCCCGCCTTGGCCTCCCAAAGTGCTGGGATTACAGGCGTGAGCCACCACGCCCGGCTGTTTTTATTCTTAAAATCAATAATTTAAAAATGTTTTATAAGACAGTAAGACAACCATGAGTTTGCATTAATAATGAAACTGATAAACTGTTGCAGCTTTTTAATATAATTTAGTATATGTATATACTTTCTGCAAAAGTCAGTGATATTAGCCAATTGTAAATTTTAGTGAAGTTTCTTTTCCTCCTAAACATGTGGACTTCCTATTTAATTGATACTGGTCCGTTTTATAATCTGTTATTTTAATTCACAGGAGTAGTATGGGAGAAAGGATTTTAGATGCTGGCGGTAAGTATGTCTTTTCAAAATCTAAAAAAGTGCTAGGATTATAGGCCTGAGTTACCATGCCTGGCCCTTTTCTGCTAACTCTTATAAGACTGACAGTTGAGAGGATTTGAAATGAACATTTATCAATAATTTAACACTTTTATTCAGGTAAAAAACAAGTAGTGGAAAGTTTCGTACCTCGCATTTGTTCCCTGGTTATTGACTCAAGAGTGAATATTTGTATTCAGCAAGAGGTAAAGTCATTTATTTGTTTGTGTTTTAAAAACTAAAAATGAGAAAGTGAAGAAAATCAATAGCAATTAAATTGAAAATTTATTTCATCTAGGACTAAATTACTTACCTTGGAGTATATGTCTATCATCTTAACAATCTATTGCCTGACATATTTCCTAAATAGTTACTGAAAATTTATAACCATATGGGTTTATAATGCATATAGCTCAAATAGAAATAAATTATACCATCCAGATTTTTGGGGTGCTTAAGTAGTTAAATGCTAAAAATAATCTGTATTAGTATATTTATGTGTGTACATATACTATCATCATAAGAACAAAATAAAGTAACATTTTTGGCTTCCTCAGATCTTCTAATGGAGTTAAAATAAATATAACTTTTATTGCAAAAAGTACAAGTGCTTTAAGTACAGGAGTCATGTTATATTCTATTTTTGATATTCTATAGTTTATGTTGTTTTTATATTCATTATTTTATACTTTATTATTTTTATTTTTTTGAGAGAGTCTTGCTCTATCTGCCCAGGCTGGAGTGCAGTGGCGCAATCTCAGCTCACTGCAACCTCTGCCTCCCAGGTTCAAGTGCTTCTCCTGCCTCCCTCCTGAGTAACTGGGATTACAGGTGCGCGTTACCATGCCCAGCTAATTTTTGTATTTTTGGTAGAGACAGGGTTTCACTATGTTGGCCAGGCTGATCTCGAACTCCTGACATCAAGTGATCCGTCCACCTCGGCCACCCAAAGCGCTGGTATTATAGGCGTGAGCCACCATGCCTGGCCTGTTTTATACTTTATATATTCTTTCCTCCATCCTACTCCATTCCTATAATAAAACTCAGTGATTAAGAAAAAATTAGGCTTCTAAGTTTATGTGCTTAGAGTATTTCTCTAAATAGTGTTTCACTGAATATAAAGTTAATGCATTATCTTTTTTTCTTTTCTAGATAATTAAAAAAATGAATGCTATGCTTGACAAAATGCCTCAAGATGCCCGGAAAATACTCTCTAACCAAGAAATGTTAATTCTCATGTAATAATCTGTACTATATTGTTTTTATTCTTTTTTTTTTTTTTTTTCTGAGATGGAGTCTCGCTCTGTCGCCCAGGCTGGAGTGCAGTAGTGCGATCTCGGCTCACTGCAAGCTCCGCCTCCCAGGTTCATGCCATTCTCCTGCCTCAGCCTCCCGAGTAGCTGGGACTACAGGTGGCCGCCACCACACCCAGCTAATTTTTTGTATTTTTAGTAGAGACAGGGTTTCATCGTGGTCTTGATCTCCTGACCTTGTGATCCGCCTGCCTCGGCCTCCCAAAGTGCTGGGATTACAGGCGTGAGCCACCACGCCCGGCTGTTTTTATTCTTAAAATCAATAATTTAAAAATGTTTTATAAGACAGTAAGACAACCATGAGTTTGCATTAATAATGAAACTGATAAACTGTTGCAGCTTTTTAATATAATTTAGTATATGTATATACTTTCTGCAAAAGTCAGTGATATTAGCCAATTGTAAATTTTAGTGAAGTTTCTTTTCCTCCTAAACATGTGGACTTCCTATTTAATTGATACTGGTCCGTTTTATAATCTGTTATTTTAATTCACAGGAGTAGTATGGGAGAAAGGATTTTAGATGCTGGCGGTAAGTATGTCTTTTCAAAATCTAAAATTATTCCATATTTATGAATAGCAGATAATTTTTTAGTTAAAATATTAGCATAGCAATGTGAGACTGAGGTAATTATAAACTTTAGGTACAATTAAGCAATTTTTAATAAATATAAATAAAATTTATCTTTGGGACAAAAATAATTTATGACAGTAGGCATTAGATACATACAATTTGTACCTAATGGTAGACTTATGAATAACATAATAGCTTAAGATAATAGCTTAAATTAATAGCTTAATTTAATAGCTTAATATAATAGCTTAATTAAAACTTAATAGCTTAACATAATAGCATAATATCTTAATTTTTCAATAGACCTGAACTACTTGTGCTAAGAAATTCCTCAGACAGTATTTTATGAAATTAGGATGTCTAATATTCTTGGTATTGATGTATTTGTTTTTAAACAATGTGTTTATTAAAATAACTTAAAATTTATTTTCTAAGCTTTTTGTGAATGAATTTTAATATGGTGATTTACATGTAGAATAAATCATGGTTTAAAGTACTGTGGGATAACTGTAAACATGTTACATGGGAGGAAAACAGAATTTGTAACTTACAACTGTATGGGTTACTTCGCATTTTATGGCAGTGTCTTTGAATATTTAGAAGTCTCAAATTTTTAAAAAAATTTTACTTATTTCTTCTGTTAGCATACTTATTATTTGGGCTGTGTTAATTCTTCAAATGATGAGATTTCTAATCCATATGAAGAAAATATTAATAGATTAATAAATTACACTAATATATTCTTATTTCTCTTGTTTATTCTAATACCTTATAAAACATCTTGTCTTTTATGAACTTAATTTTCATAATTGTAAATCAAACATTAACTATTTTTTTAATAGATTATGACTTACAGGTAGGCATTGTAGAAGCTTTATGTAGAATGACCACAGAAAAACAAAGGCAAGAACTGGCACATCAGTGGTTTTCAATGGATTTTATTGCTAAAGCATTTAAAAGAATTAAGGACTCTGAATTTGAAACAGTAAGTTGTGTAACAATAACAGAAATTTGTAAATTTTTAAAAATTATTATAATTTTTAAAAAGTATTTCTCTTTAAAATTAGGATTGCAGGATATTTCTCAACCTTGTGAATGGCATGCTTGGAGACAAAAGAAGGTACAATGCAAGATACAACCATATACTGACAAAGAACTAGAGCTCAAGAGTGAGCACCCAGTGTTGCATCTTTACACATTTAACTTTATTTGTTCTTGTATGTTGTAGTGTAAAATATTCTTAGATAATTTAAAACAATAACATGATTTTAGCAAATTACTACACCAGTAATCTGAAATAATTCTGCACTGGCCTTGTTTTATTTTGTACTTTTTAGAGGGAAAAGTTCATTTCTGTTTAATTCATATTAATTAATAACTTTGGATATATTTGAGTTGCATATCCATTATTATTTAATGTTTGAGGGATAATAAAAATCTAGACATATTTATTACTTGAATTGCCTCCTTCATCCACATGCTAGAATGTAAATATATAGGAAACAAATCATCTTCCTTTATAATTAACATACAGTAAGTAGGATCTTTCTGAGGGGCATGAAAGGATATGTAATGTAAATTTTAATCATTTTTTTTATAACGACCGAAAAACAGAATTTGCAATGCCTGGCACTTTATGGATGTTCAACACAATTATTGGATGAATGAATTCACATTTACTGTACTTACTAAAGAAATTAAAAGTATTGTCAGGGTTGTGCAAGAAGTCATATTACCTGGATTTGAATCTATAAGTTCCTCTCTTCCTGTTCTAATATTGGGCAAATTATTTAACCTTACATGCCTCAGTTTCCTTAGCTGTTATATAATATTAATAACTACCTCATATGTTTGTGGTATAGATTAAATGAGATAATATGCTAAATATTTAAAATAGTATCTAAGAAAGCATTCTGTGAATTTAACCATTTTTAACATAATTATTCACTTGTATTCTTTTCTGATTTAGGTTCTGTGAAAACATATATTAATAAGCTAAATTAGGAAACTGCTTATATTTGATAGTACACCGTATTAGTCTGTTTTCATACTGCTGATAAAGACATACCGGAGACTGAGAAATTTACAAAAGAAAAAGATGTAATTGAACTTAAAGTTCCACGTGACTGGGGAAGCCTCACAATCATGGTGGAAGGCAAGGAGGAGCAAGTCACATCTTACATGGATAGCAGCAGGCAAAGAGAGAATGAGGAAGATGCAAAAGCAGAAACCCCTGATAAAACCATCAGATCTCATGAGACTTACTCACTACCATGAGAACAGTATGGGGGAAACTGCCCCCATGATTCAGTTATCTCCCACCTGGTCCCTCACGTGGGAATTATGATAGTACCATTCAAGATGAGATTTGGGTGGGGACACAGAGCCAACCCATATCACACACACAAACATTTGGTGCAATCATTTTAGTCAAAATGGTAGATTGAATAGTATCCTCAAAGTAATATGGTTTTCTCTACATAAATGTCCACTAAACATGTATTTTGGAAAGTATTAAAGAGGGAAATATTATTTTATTTCAATTATTATGACTGCTGCCTGATTTCCTTTTGATTCCAGGCATGATTTCTATTGCTGGACAAGATATGCTGTGAAAGCTTATTTATTTTTTTCTTAAACTACTTTTTATTTCAGGGTCTTTACATTTCCTTGTTTATCAGCATTTCTTGATAAATATGAGGTAAAATTTTAACTTAACACATTATTTTAGTTACTGTATGAATTTTGATAGTCAAGTGAATTATGAGTTAAAAATGAATAAGAACATTAAAAATAGTTGTAATTAGATCATGAATATAGCTGATCTAGTATTCTGTATCTGACAGTGATACCAGGAGAAATTTTATGGAACAGCGTATTCATTGTCAAGAATAACTGAAAAATAAAGGCTGTAGTCCACATTTTCTCCTGTTTCCTTAAGACCATTATTGATTTATCATGTCTGAACCTATTCAAACTAGTACTTTCAACCTTTATTAGCACTTGGAATATTCATGATTTCTTGGAGCTAGTTGATTTTTTATAAAATATTAAAGTAGCATTTTATTGTTTTTAAATTTATCTAAATATTATACTTGTCTATTCTTTCTCTTCTCTCCCCTTCTAGCTTTGTTTTCTTGCTTTAGCCATGAATATAACATCGTAATTTTCTGTTATTTTTAAATCATTGTATATGCCAGTTTTGTATGTTTATTTTATTAGCTGCAAATACCATCAGATGAAAAACTTGAGGAATTTTGGATTGATTTTAATCTTGGGAGTCAGACTCTCTCATTCTACATTGCTGGAGATAATGATGTAAGTTTTATTTCCTTGGTATTATTCTTTATGTATATGTATATATAAGATTTTTACTCACTATAAGAATGTGGATTTATTTTTATGTTTTAGCCAGTCTTTACATAGATTTTAACATTAGCTCTAGTAATTTGATTAGCATAACGACCTACCAAGCTAATTATAAATGAAAATTACTTCTGATGTTTTATTGTATGAGAAAAAATAATGCTAAATTTTAATACTAATTTTTTTAACATAAGCTTTTCAAAAATAAATGTTAATTCATGACAGATACAATTTTATATTCACATAAACAAAGTGAACTGACTTTAGAAAAGGGAACAGTTACTCAAATACAGAGGCACTCTATTGAAAATATTAACAGATAGTGACACGTGGTCCTAACTTAATCATTCATAAAATCTTCTCTTTGGAAATAGGACTTGATTGGGAGTTAATTTTAGGTTTTTTTTCCTCCTATGCTTTATCATAGCTGTGCTCAGATCTTCCAAATAGGTGTCATATTTTCTGCTGACCTGAATACTTTTTACCTAAGGAAAATCCTTGAGCCATTATTTCATAATAGCTACCACCTCATATTTGATACACTTGCATACATTTAGCTTAAATTTTGTAATCTATTTGCCAAAATCTGAGTAAGAGTTGATCAGCATTTACTAATCTGGTTGTGGCTGGTGATATTATAATAAGGCTTTAGTCTTTTTAGTCTGTTTCTTATAGAATCCTGCTATTTATTCCAGGTAAACATTTTATAGATGAACATTAACTAAATGCTTTTTAGGATTTTCACATGCCTTTATTGCTTTTCATTTTAAAGTACCTTCTTAGAATGCTTAAAATTGAGTTCCAATGACTAGCACTGCTTCTCAGGGAGCACTGACAGTTTCTATTAGTGTATTTCTCCTGCAGGTTTGTAGGAGTGTTTTAAGCTGATTGTTTTTCGAGGAGCTACTTAGGTAGGCAGGTGCAAAAGTAATTGCGGTTCTTTTACTTTCAGTGGCAGAAACCATTACTTTCAATGGCAGAAACTGCAATTACTTTTGCACCAGTCTAGTAGAATTTCATTTTGGGAGAAAAGTATTGTTATTAGACGGCAGTAACTACTATAAAGGAAATAAATAGGGCAGTGTTCCTTCATTCAGCTTGGTCTAATGGATTATTGAGATAAAAAAATAAGCAATTAAATACCATGAAACCCCACCTCTACTAAAAATACAAAAATTAGCCGGGTGTGGTGGCAGGCACCTGTAGTCCCAGCTACTCGGGAGGCTGAGGCAGGAGAATGGCATGAACCCAGGAGGCGGAGCTTGCAGTGAGCCCAGATTGTGCCACTGCATTCCAGCCTGGGCGACAGTGTGAGACTCAAAAAAAAAAAAAAAAGAAAAGAAGCAATTACATTGTAGCAGTATACATGATAGGGAAAGTATAAAATGCATATATAAGTATTTAATGCCTACTGTGTTCCAGACACTGATCAAGATGCTGGGGGACTCTTCTTTCCAAAACTATAGTTAGAATCCTCTCTCCCCTGAATTTCCATAGTTGTAATATGTTATTCCTTTATTCTCTCTTGCTCTCCATAAAAGCCATTCTCCACAGTGGCTCCTTGAATCCTTCTTCTGTCTCTCTGACGTGGCATACAAGGCTTTTTGTGGCCTGGTCTCTGGCTGTTTCTCTGATATTTCATGTATTTTCTATGATGACTGTGTTCCAGTCACATTTATTTTTCTATTTCTCTAACACAGATTATGCTAATCTTAGGTCTTTCTACTTCTTAGTTCTTCTGCATAGACCACTGCCTCCAGGTCCTTGCATCTTAGTCCTTCCTGATTAGATTTAAGCACAAATGTTGCCTTCTCATAGAGTATTCTCAGGCTACTCAATATAAAGCAGCCTCACAGCCACATTATTCCACATTGTCTTATTTCCTTTATAGTAGTTATTATTTAAAATCATTTTGTTTATTTGTTGTTTGTTGTCTACTTTCCTGCATAGAGTGTAAGATTAATAAGATCAGGGACTTTTTTTGTTTATAGCTGTTCAGTGGCTTATGTTTATTGCAAGAATGAGTAAACAGAACATTGAAAGAATTGAAAGATATATAGAGGGCATAGGGGATTGGAAAAATATAGGAAGTGTGGAGCCAAAGGAGAATTTTAAGTAAGAGGTAACATCAGTTCAATGAGTATCTATTGAGAACTATGTGTCACGTATGTACTAGGCACTGGAGAACACATTTGTGTAAAAGATGCCCCGTGGTAGGGGAAATGGATAAAAATAGACTGGGGAGAATAGATTACAAAGGAACGAGACTAGAGGCAGTTAGGAGGCTTTTGCAATAATCCAGGTGAGAAATAATTGTGGGATGGTTTTGAGATATAACAATGGGCATGGATGGAAATTGATAGAATCCAGAAAGACTTGAGAGGAGATAGAACTGAGCAAACTTGGTGATTTGTTTGTAATTTTTTTAAAAAGAAGGATTACTAAAATTTGGGTAGCTAGATGGAAATTGAGTCATAAGTAGAGATATAGAAACTATCTGTATATAAATGACAGAACCATGGTTTTTAATGAGTGCCTACATGAAACAACTATGAAAAACCAATTTCTACAGGATAAGTAAAAGAGATTTTAGCTAGAAGGATACTTGAAGAATCGGCCAAAAGGGAACAAATTAAAAGGGTATAGTGTTATGGACGACAAAGGAAAGGAGGTTTTATGAGAGGAAATGATCAACACAGTGAGATATTCCTGAGAGGTGAGGTTAAATACAAACTTGTAACCCATGAAAGAGCAGTTTCACTCATGCGATGAAGAGTTTAGGCATTCCTAGAAAGTTAAAATATTTGCTAAGGAAGTAAAGACATCAAGTTAAGGAAAGAGATAGCATGAGATGTGGACTCAAAGTAGGGGTTTTTGTTGGGTATTTTAATGATAAGAGCTTTCATAAATTGATGGTGAAGGGCAGATAGGGAGAGGTTGAAGGAAAAAAATTGAGGTCAAGAGGAGGAAGGAGTATAATGGAGGGAGAGTAGGAGATGAAAATGGAACAAAATTGCTATAACATATTGATAACTGTTGAAGCTGGGTGAGGGCATATTTTGGGTTTATAATACTATGATTTCTGATTTAAAATAATCTGTTTGAAAATTGCCATTATGTGCGTTTTTTAAAAAGTGAACTAAGTGCCTTGATATATAAGGAAGAATCAGTTTTAAGTTGGTAGATGATAGCAATTATTGGGAATAGAGTATGCCAGCTGAGATATTCCTCAAAAGAGCAAGTTTTTTACACACAGAGAAATATGAGGCTGCTCAAAGCTTTGGGGAAAAATTAGAATACCACCCGTTTCCTCCTGATCCTGAGGTTTTGAGGTAATGGATAAAAGTAGAGAAGAGAAAGGAATTAGTGAAAATAATAAGGATTTAGAGGAATTTCTCAGGAATGAGTTGTCCTTAAGTAACAAAAGTATTTAATTTTTTTTGGTTTTTTTGTTTGTTTTTGTTTTTGTTTTTTTGAGACGGAGTCTCACTCTGTCACCCAGGCTGGAGTGCAGTGGCACCATCTCGGCTCACTGCAAGTTCCGCCTCCTGGGTTCACACCATTCTCCTGCCTCAGCCTCCCGAGTAGCTGGAACTACAGGCGCCCGCCACCACGCCCGGCTAATTTTTTTTGTATTTTTAGTAGAGATGGGGTTTCACTGTGTTAGCCAGGATGGTTTCGATCTCCTGACCTCATGATCCACCTGCCTTGGCCCCCCAAAGTGCTGGGATTACAGGCGTGAGCCACCACGCCCAGCCAGGAATGGTATTTAATTTTTACTATAACTTCATGAATTCAGTATCATTCAGTTATACAAATTTTCAATGAAAATACTTGGAGCTAACATTTTAGGTTATTATCATGCACATTCATGTTTAAATCAAAGGACAATCTGTTAATGAGTATTGTGGTTACAGGACCTGGAATAGGTAGTAGGAGTGGGAATTGAGGAATGAGTATGACTTCATAAAATATTTCAAAGAAAACATAAAAAGACTTGGTTACATTTTTAAAAAGGGTATCCTCTAATAAATATTAACAGTCATTCCTTTTTTGGTTAAGGATAGTAAATTGTCAAAAACATTTCGTTTTAAGAATGAACAAATACATTAAATGTAATATATAATATGTAGTTAATTGGTGGAGCAAGAAAGGTGTTATATAAACTAGTTTGTGACTAGTAAAAAATATTGATAGTTCATGTAACTTAAAATTTGATGTTTAAAGAAACTGTAAATCAGAAATAAATTATTTATTTATGGCCAAAACCTGTTTTTAAATTTAAGGATCATCAATGGGAAGCAGTTACTGTGCCAGAGGAAAAAGTACAAATATACAGCATTGAAGGTATTAAACTTGTTTTTTTTTAAAAAAATAATTTTCTTAATTCTTACCATATGGAACAAATATTACATCCTTTCTGGGTTAACAAAACAGACTAATGAAAGCAAAATCAGTATTTTCAGATATTCACATTCAGAAATTCATCAAATTCCTTAATCCCATGTTTCCCTACTAATCTCCCAACTCTACACCTGTACTTACTTCCTTCCCTTTCTAGTCTAGAAACAGTGATCCAGTTTGTCATTCTTGTTTCTATGTTCAAGGCTCCTGACCTTCCATCCCATTTGCTTGATTAAATCTGAATATCTGGTTTCTCCAATCCTGTAACTGGAACTGCATAACACTAGTGGACAAAATCAGACTAGTACTATTACAAATTTAGATATTAAGACATATTTTAGTCATTTCAATAGACATAAAATATCTCATTATGATTTTTATTTGCATTTTTCTAACGACCAGTGATACTGAGCACTTTTTCATGTGCTTTCTGGCCATTCATATATCTTCCTTTGTAAACTATATATTTTAAATATTTTGTTCATGTTTTATTGGACTATCTAGTTCTTAGGTATCCTAGATTCTAATCCTTTGACAGATATATGTTCTATATTTTCTCCAAAACTGTATCTTGCTTATTCATTTTCTTATTGATACCTGGCGAGCAGTTTTAAATTTTGAAATCTACTTGATCTATTTTTATGGTTATTGCTTTCTGTGACCCAAGAAATTTTTATCTAGTCTTAAATCACTAAGATGTTCCATTATTTTTCCACAAAAATTTTATAGCTTTAGCTTTTATGTTTAGGAGTATTAAAATCTCAAATTAATATTTGATTAAGGTGTGATGTAGAGATTGGACGTTCATTTTTTCATGTGGATATGCAGTTATTCCAGGATTATTTGCTGTAAAGGTTTTTCTTTTCTATTGGATTTCTTTGGTTTCTTTGTTGAAAATCATGACTCTGTAATAGCGTGTCTATTTCTTGGTCCTCCAATCTGTTCTATTTATCATAGGTCTACTTACTATTCTTTATGTCAGTACCACACTGTTTTGATTATGCTAGATTTGTGGTTAGTCTTGAAGTCAGTATAAGTCTTCCAACATTGTGATTTTTAAAAATATTGTTTTGGAAATTATAGGCCTTTTGAGCTTCTATATAAATTTTAGAATAGGTTTATCGATTGCTTGTTGGAATTATGATTCAGGGTTTAGATCAATATGGGGAGAAATAACTTGTTAACAGTAGTAACTAGTTTATAAACATGGTGTATCTCTCCATTTGTTTAGGTCTTTGATTTCTCTCAACAGTGTTTCACAGTTTTCACTGTATAAGTCTTTTGATGAATTTGTTCCCAAGTGTTCAGTCTATATGTTTATAAATAGAATAGATCTTTAATTTTACCAGTCATGGGATCTGCAAAAGAGGTAGTTTTACTGTTTCCTTTCTGATCCTTATGCACTTCCTCCCTCGTTTCCTTTTGTTGCTTTATTGCAATGGATAGACCCTCCAGTGCAATATTGTATAGAAGTGATAAAAGTGGACATCTTGGCCTACTTCCCAATCTTTGCTTAGGAAAGAGCATTCAGTATTTTACCATTAAGCATGATGTTAGCCAAAAGTCTTTTGTAGATAACCTTCATCAGGTTAAGGATGTTGATAACTCTTCATATTTGTCTATGCACGTGAAACCATCATGGCAATCAAGTTAATAAACATATCACCCCCAAAATTTCTTTGTACTTCTTTTAATCCATCCTTCTACCCCCAGGCAATTACTGATGTTTTCTTTATCTTTGATACTTTTACATTTTCTAGAGTTTATATAAATGGAATCATACAGTATGTAGCAATTTTTGTCCAGCTTCTTTCTTTTAGAACACTTTAAAAAAAATGATTCAAGCATGTTGCATTTATCAGTAGTTTATTCTTTTTTTTGCTGGATGTTATTCCATTGTATAGATATACTTCATTTGGTTTCTATAGTCACCTGTTGATGAGCATTTGTAATGTTCCCAGTTTTTAGCTATTATGAAATGTTGCTGTAAATATTCATGTATAATTAATTACTTCTGAAAATATGTCTTTAGTTCTCTTAGGCAAATACTAAGGAGTTCAGTGGTTAGTTCAGACCCACAGGCATATGATTAGCTTTTGAAGAAACTTCTAAAATGTTGTCCAAAGTGATTTTACCATTTTACATTTTCACTATCAGTGTTTAAGAGTTCCATTTGTTCTACATCCTTCCTAACACTTTTATGGTCAGTCCCTCCTACCGTCTTGCCTTGTTGTACTGGCTGTGTAATCTTCAGTACAATGTTAGTAGAAATTATAAGAGCAGACATAATTGCCTAGTTTATGATGTTAGTGTTGAGGGTGAAGGGGATTATTTTTTCTTCTATAATTATTTCATGTTGACAATTTCTCTGTTAATTCAGGTAAACTAGTTGTTTAATTAGAGTATGGCACTTTCCCATCTCTCTCTTGCTGCCTCGCTTGCCATGTGACACACCCACTCCCCTTTTGCCTTCTGCAATGATTAAAGCTTCCTGAGTCCCTCATCAGAGGCAAATACTGGCACCATGCTTCCTGTACAGCCTGCAGAACCATGAGCCAAATAAATCTTTTTTTGTAAGTTGCCCATCCTCAGGTGTTCCGTTATAGCAGACTAATATAGTCTTCTTCTAAAAAGATCTGTTGTTTCCTCTCTTGATCAGTCATGTGTTGTTGTCTCTATGCATGTCAAGTAATTTTATGATAGATAATGCATATACAGGAATGATAGACGCTCCGGATAGTCCTTCCACCAGAAGAGTTTCTTTATTTCTTCTTAGGTGGAGGGGCTGAAGGCCTGATCCAATCATGGATGTTTGTCTGTGTTTAGTTCTAGTTTTAAATTTACTCTTTGTCTTGTTTGCCTCTATTACTCAGGTGTGGCCATCCCAGTCTGTTGATGATGAGCCTATTAGATTTTTGTCTTCTGAACCTGAGAGACTATGGGAGATACAGTTCTGCCTCTTAGAGGTTTCCAGCTCAGCTCTCCAGCTGTTCACTCTACTCAGTCCAAAGGCAAATATTTTGAGCGGGACACTGAGTATATGCCTGAAGATGATACATCTATCAGGCAGTACATTGATTCCAAGCCCATGAGACTATTAGAGAGTTAACTCTGCCTTTTATCGGGTTTGGTCCAGCTCCTTGTGCTGCCCTAGAATGAAGAGAAAATTAGTTATGCCTTTAAAGCTTTTAAGTGTCCTATTTGTTACTCCAGGCACTACTGCTCACTAAATACTTGCTTGTCTTCTTTTCTCCAGCAGAGGTTTTCTTCTTAAGCCTACAAACAGAATTAGCAAATTTCCTTAGAGAAAAAAAGGCCAGAGATCTTGTTACATGTACAGCTCTCTGACACCTTTAAACATATGATATTTTAATCCTTCTGATTTTTTAAAACAGGATATTAGCCTGCCACAATATCCTACATTTTTCCCAGAAGTGGAAGTCTCCAACTTCCAACTTTGGACTCTCACTGCTACTTGGCAGTCTTCCATGTCCATAGTTGCCATCCCTCTCCAGTCCTCTAACAGCTACTATTTAAATTTTTAAGTTATCCTTAAGAACCTTGCCTTTTTTGCTTTCACTATGATGTGGTAATTCAGAAGAACATGAATTTTTCAGGTAAGAATGCCTATACATTTTGGCCCTGCAGACCCTCCATCTCCAAACATCTTTGCATCTGTATCCTCCTTTATCTCTCCTGTAAAGAGAAGATATGTATCTACTCTTGTTGAAAGGTAATCTGAGTTCTCCATACATATTCTCCAAGTCTTTGCTCCATCAATTCATATTTCTTATATCTTCTTCCTCTCAGTACCTCTTTTCTCTCAGTTATATCAATGGGCTCAAATGCCTATCATAAAACAAAAAGTTTACTTTTATCCTATGTCTTCCTGAAGCTATATTTTTCTCCCCATTCATAGCCAATTTTGAGAGAATAGTTTTTACTCTTTCCTTCTCTTTCTATTTATTCTTATGTTATAAAATCTTGATATATTGATATCCATAAATACTTGCATTTTATAGCAAGCAACACAACAATGTTTTCTTGTATCCTAGTAACATTGCTAACTAATTAAAAGGGAAATCAAGCCATTATATAGTCCAGACAGAGCAAATATCAGGAATTTCAACAAAGCAATCATTAAAATATAACAAATATTCATAAATTTCTATGTAAGTAGCCATAACATAGGTAGACACATTTTTGTACAAATAGGCACAAAGCATTCAGCGAAATAGTAAATTTGAAGTAATTCTAATACCATGTACAAGCAAGGAATTAAAGCAAATATTATATTTAATATAATTTACAGTAAGCTATAGAAAAAAAGTCAAATGCATATCAGAGGAATAAAACAATCAGCAGAAATAGACCTAAAAATTACAAATGTTTTAATTTTCATCAAAACATGAAAAATTATCTTTAAAGCCACCTAAATTTTCATCTCTGAAACCTGAAAACTTGTCACTGTTTAACTTTTAAAAACTACTAGCACTCTGAGTTTGAAACTATGGTTACCACTTTCAAGCAATTGCTAATTCTTAGTACTTTCAAAGAGCATTACTGTGAAAGTTTCATGAGCATATTTTTGCAAAAGCAAATAAAACATTTTCTGCTTGGGCAGGCCTCATAAGAATCAGGACATTTCATAGCCTGTAGGACATTTGTCCCTTAGGCCACATCATGGCGTAGCCTGCAGAGCTTTTTCAGATGTAGAGATAAATTTCCTTATTTTGTGTGATCCTGCTCCCTCAGAGTTTTTCTCCTGCAGGCAGGGTTGGAGACTTCTCATCCAGCAATAGAATTCCTGCCACAAGTAGAATAGGAGCATGGTGGCCTCTGATCTGTAAATACACGTCCTTTTATTAGGTGCCAGGTAATTTTTTGGTAACTTTTGTAGGGAGGGAGAGTGTGACTATTTCTTATAAACTGGTACTTGCTGTGTTCTCTGTTTACTGGATTGGTAAGTTCATTGAGGCCAAGTGCTAGATCCTTCTCACCTCACAATTTCCTGAAACTTAATTTTTATCAAGTGTTGTTTATTGTCAGCATGTTATAACAACTGTGGATTTAATAGAAATGTTTATATGCATATGTCTAGAAACATGGTAATTGTATGGAATTAAAGTTGTTTTTGTTTGCCTTTAAATTAAGAAAATAGTATTCTCAGATGTGTTCAAGGAATATTTTATTAAGAATTTGTTAGGGTCCAGAATGTATTTGGGACTCTATCTTATCAGGTATAGCCATATCCCATATTTTATAGATAAGAATACTAGGCTAGGAAAGCTAAATTGACTTGATTTATTTACCTAGGTAAGTAGTGTCAGAATTGATTAATTTAAACACTGTTCAATATTGAGAATTTGAATTTTGATTCAATTAATATGCTACATCCATGTCTTATAGTATACTTGCAGAGTAGTATCATAGAAACAAACTAATCAGTGTTATTTGTTTGTATACAGTGAGAGAATCAAAGAAGCTACTAACAATAATTCTGAAAAATATAGTAAAAATTAGCAAAAGAGAAGGGAAAGAATTGCTTTTGTATTTTGATGCATCACTAGAAATCACTAATGTGACTCAAAAAATTTTTGGTGCAAATAAACATAGGGTAAGTCTTTAAACTTAATAAATATTTACTGTTTTCATAATTCTGGAAACACTCAGTTTGGGGTTATAAGTTTTATTGCATTTTTTCCTTTCTAGTATTCTTAAAATGTAGATTTTTAGTTCTTTAAATTTGTACTGGTGAAGAGTCATCAGCTTGTTAGTCATATCCATTGAGATACCCATTAGAAAGTATCTGATGACAAAATTAGCAGCAGCTGCTCAAAACATTTAATGAATTTCTGCCAGGTGTTTAAAAAGTAAAATGAGAGAAAGCACTGTTTTCAAGATTTTAAACGTCGTGAAAATTACACACATGATACATAAGAAGAAGTAAATAATGGCATACGGAACAAGAGTTGTAGATATTGAAGAAAGAGAAGGCTCATAAAGAGTCAGGTTTGGAGATAGGCATTATTATGGATATGGGACTTGAAATGGCCTTCGAAGTTGAAGGAAAGGATTTAGATAAAATACTTTCCAGGCATGTAGAAATTACGAGCCAAATATTGTTTAACTGAGAATTTAAGGTGACAATTCATGTGATGTGTTGGGGAGATATTCAATGGACAAATTTGAATAGTGCAAAAGATTTGTGTTGCAGAATATTAGATGTATTTGTGAGGAACAAGGGTTCCTCACAATGACCCTTGTTCCTCACAAATGACAAGCTAAGCTGACTGGTTAATGGGGAGTGATTGAAGTGTTCTGAGAAAGTATTCATATATGCAAAGTAATTATTTGGGATATTTGGCGATTTTGGAGGAAAACAGGTAGAAAATAATTACATTATAAAGTACATTATTTTATAAAATAAAATATAAAATGACATATAAAAAATGGAAAGAAAATGTCATCAGTGTGAATTGATTTAATTTTAGGAATCTATCAGAAAACAAGGTATTTCAGTTGCCAAAACATCGCTGCATATACTTTTTGATGCAAGTGGATCACAGGTATGTCTCAGACTTACTTGATTTTTATCACTGGGCTAAGTTTAACCATAACTAATAGAACAGTAATAAAGGTGTTGTTGGACGGTGAATATATAGAAAACAAATGGTCTCAATATAAACAGTACCCCGATAAAATGTATATGATGTTTAAACATGTTATAAATGATAATTTTAGTGTAAAGTGTGGGGTTATTAATATCAGTTTAGTAACTTTAAAACTTTAATAAAGCAGTAAATGTCCTTACATTAATGCCAAGCTTGTTTTATGTCTATTAGTGTTTGAAAACATGGATACTTTTTATTGGATCACTTTGTAAAAATTATAACAGCACATAGATAGAAAAGGGAAACAATTGATATTTGAATATGAGATGGGTATGAGCTTTATTAAGACATCCAGTGATTGTTGATTACTTTCTGTGGTTTGCAGTTTTTAATACTTTTTTTTTCATGTTCTCCAACAGATTCTAGTGCCAGAAAGTCAAATCTCACCAGTCAGAGAAGAACTCGTTAGTTTAAAGGAAAAATCAAAGTCCCCAAAGGAATTTGCTAAACCTTCAAAATATATCAAAAACAGTAACAAAGGGAATAGAAATGATAGTCAGCTTGAGGTAAAGATGGTATCAAAATACTGGCTTATAAAACTACCATTGATCAAATCATTGCTATATATGAGTATAGAAAGAAGCATCTATAATTTATATATTATTGGCCTTGATTAATCACATTTCACAGTTTTTCTCCTACCTTTGACAAATGCAAACAAAAGATAGTGTGTGTCTTAGCAAATTGTGTACATGTTATGGGGTTAGAACAAGATATACTTTACACTTGTAAATTACAAATTAGAGATAGATAAGATAACCTGCTTCTTGCATTTATCCTTTTTGTTCTATCATTCATTGCATTTGGCTATAATGTAGAATAGTAATGTATAATGTTCTGTTTATTTGCATGAGAAAAAAAAGTATGAGGTTCTTTCTTTTACTCCTTTTCTTCCTCTTCCATTGAAGGACCTCCTCTAGGTCACATCCAGGAGAACCATTTCTCATAATTGGAACCCCTACCACCATACCTTGCTGTGACACTTGACATTGTTGATAGCCCTCTGTTTCTTAAGGTCCTCTCCTTCAGCTTCCATTGTATACCACAGTTCCCTTTCTGCTTCTGTTACTACATCAGAAAAACTTTCTCTCTATACCTCTTTGTAGGTTAGCTCTAAACCCAAAAGCTTGATATCCAGCTGTTGGAACATCTTGTTGCCTTCTTTCTTAGCTTCTTTCATATTCATGATGTGAGCTTTTAAAATGTAGCAGACTTTTCTTCAAAATTCTATAGCTGCATCTCTACTTTTTTTTTTCTGTATTTCCATTTGTATGTCTCTTCAAGACCTTTCCTGAAGTCTAAGCTCAAACATTTTATCTTTTGCCTAAAATCTGCATCTGTATTTCAGTACAAAAAAATCTGCCTAATTTTTTTGGCAACATGCTTGATTCCAGCCTCTTCTCCCCTTATATCTGGAACCAAGGTGCTTGTGATTATTCTTTCATAGTATCTATCTCTCACATCCATTCTTTCTTATTTCTTCTACCATTACTCATCTCAGCACACTTAGGTTAATACAGTAGCCCCCTTGTATGACTTTGTCACCACTGTTTTATCCTATGAGATACCCCATATAATCAGCGATTTTCCTTAAATATCAGTATCTTGATAGCATTCTTCTACTCCAAAAGCTTTGTGATTTCTGTGTTCATCCCACTGACTGAATAAATTTTGGCTCAGTTCTGAGACTTTGTATAATTTAATTTTACCTTTTCTATTAAAACTGTAATATGTATTCTCCCCTTTTGTAAGGTAATTTGCTTTACTGTCTCTTTGCATGCCATGTTCATTCATGCCTCTAGATCTTCATTCACATTATTTCTTTTTTTGCCTTTACCTATCTAAAGCATACTTACATTTGCAAGTCTTGTTCATTTTCCCTTTCTCTTTTTTTGCTTTCCTTTTAAAACATTTTACAACTCTTTTTTTTGTAGGAAGTCTTTTATTATACTTTAAGTTCTGGGATACATGTGCAGAATGTGCAGGTTTGTTACATAGGTATATATGTGCCATGGTGGTTTACTGCACCCATCAACCTGTCATCTACATTAGGTATTTCTCCTAATGTTATCCCTCCCCTAGTCCCCCACCCTGCAACAGGCCCCAGTATGTGATGTTCCCCTCTCTGTGTTCATGTGTTCTTAACTCCCACTTATGAGTGAGAACATGGGGTGTTTGATTTTCTGTTCTTGTGTTAGTTTGCTGAGAATGATGGTTTCCAGCTTCATCCATGTGCCTGCAAAGGACATGAACTCATCCTTTTTTATGGCTGCATAGTATTCCATGATATATATATGCCACATTTTCTTTATCCAGTCTATCATTGATGGGCATTTGGGTTGGTTCCAAGTCTTTGCTATTGTGAATAGTGCCACAATAAACATACGTGTGCGTGTGTCTTTATAGTAGAATGATTTATAATCCTTTGGGTATATACCCAGTAATGGGATTGCTGGGTCAAATGGTATTTCTGGTTCTAGATCCTTGAGGAATCACCACACTGTCTTCCACTTTCTTTCTTTTTATTTAGTTTTTGAGATGGAGTCTTGTTCTGTCACACAGGCTGAAGTGCAGTGGTGCAATCTCTGCTCACTGCAACCTCCGCCTCCCAGAACCTCTGCTTCCTGGGTTCAAGTGATTCTCCTGCCTCAGATTCCCAAGGAGCTGGGATTATAGGCATCTGCCACCACACCTGGCTAATTTTTGTTTTTTGTTTGTTGGTTTGTTTTACTAGAGACAGGGTCTCCCTTGTTGGCCAGGCTGGTCTCGAACTCCTGACCTCAGATAATCTGCCCTCCTCGGCCTCCCAAAGTGCTGGGATTACAGGCATGAGCCACTGCGCCCAGCCCATTTTTTGCTTTCTTCATGGAGCTTTGCCTGATTATTTCAGTTGTTACTAATCTCTCACCTTTAGGTAACTATAACTCTCACAGGCACTTCCATATGTTTTGGCATGTTTATGTTACTATTTTGTTTTTTAGTCTTTTGTTCTCAATTAAATTAAAAGTGTCATTTATTTCCTCTAGACAATTAGCACATGAAAGCTATTTTTGGTGTCTTTATATCAGAATCATGTTGGGTGCTTATTAACAATGCTGATTCTTAGCCCCACCTTAAATCTGTTGAATCATAAACTCTTGGAAAGGTCTTAAGCACACCAAAGTTTGAAAAACACCACACTACTGTTAAATACCTGTGCTCTGTTTTCAATGAGGATGAACTGTTTGAGGCATTTATATGAATAAGTAACTTTTCAGGTCCCATTCACTATGCCACTAAAAACTTAATTTCTCTAAGAAAAATCTATTGGCTCAGAAGCTTGTTTTCTAGTTAATCTTATAATTTTCTTTTCTGTTATCCTTTCCGTCCTTCCCTCACATTTCATGTACATACTCACAACTACATCATTTTTTCCCCTGTTCTAGGGACAGGTGCCTTAAAACCAGCTCTTTTATGCCTCTATGCAGTATGTCACCATCTACTTCTTAACATGGCATCCTCTGAAACTCCTGTCTCCTGTAGTCCCTGCCTCTACTTATCTACTTCTGTCCCTCTTATAAATCAGTGTGAGATGATATGGGAGAAAACAAATCTTTATTGGAACCACTAGATTATGTGCCACTGAATCTATGAATTCCTGCAGCTACTTCTCCAGTTTAGCCTTTACTGATTATTAGTACAATTTTCAAAAATGTGTGAATATTTTGAAGAAAGCTTAATATGAAAGCACTCAAAATAATTTTATATAAAGATGTAATCCAAACATTATCCTCATGGTATAGAATAGGAAATTGCAAGCTATGGTTAACTAGATAAGCTCAATATTGATAAAATATTTTCAGCTAGCATATAAAAGTACTGTACTTCATAGGTATGGATATTCTATAAATATTCTTTAAAACAGTGTTCCTTACTTGTTTTGGCTACTTATTTAATACCAAACATGAAGATGAACCTTTCATATCAGCCTAAAACATGGAAATTTATGGATATTGTGTTGTTTAAAACATATATCTTTGGCATGTATCATTTAGGCAAAATGTTATAAGTAAAACTGCAGGATATTTAATTTCCAAAAGACTGTTTACAGTGGTTGTTTTTCATCATGGTTTCAGATAATTACTCCTAGCAAAAGAAAAATGTCTGAAGCATCAATGATTGTTTCTGGGGCAGATAGATACACTGTGAGAAGTCCAGTACTTTTCAGCAACACATGTAAGTTTTATAGTTTTAAAAGATTTCTAACAATTATTTTAAAGGAGGCATTTTTTAATTTAAGGAACTCTGAGCATAATTTACATAAAGGATAAGTTTGGTGTATAAAAATTGATAAAATATGAAACACAAATGTCTTCTAATGGGAGGAAAAGTATAACGCTAACATATGAACAGAACAATGTTCAAAATACTAATATTTGACAATAATTTGTTATAATTTAAGCAAGACACAGCATATCTTACTGGTTAAAACACTGAATTAACCAGGCCAGGCGGACTTAGCTCCCCACTTCCAGCTGTGTACTTTGTACAGGTTATCCTCTAGCTAAATTTAGAACCAGTTTTTTTTCTATAAGTGGCACTTAAGTATCTCATCAAGTTGTTTAGAGGACTAAATAAAAATCACTCATTTAATAAGGAATCTAGTGAAACTTTAAACAGTGCCTGATAGATACTAAGAGCTAAGTAAAAGTTTTAAAAAATCTGATACTGTGTACTAGTTTCTTTACAGTCTTAGTCTATATGACAACTTAACATTGACCTTCTGTTCTAAAAATCTAGTTGCCTACTGGCCAATTGCCTAGTATCTGACAGGCTCCTCAAACTTAATAGGTCCAAAGTTAAATTAATCTTTCCATCCTCCCTGCAAATTTTTCCTTCACTTCTTATCTTGGTAAATGACATCTATATTCACTTACTTATCTAAGCTAGAAACCTGGGAACCATCTAAGAATGTTCATTTCTTACCTTCCTCATCTGAAAAGTACCTCAACAATAGCAATAGGTAAAAAAAAAAGAAAAAGAAATCTGCAATCCTTATCCTCCTTTTTAGCAATACCACCACGAAGAAGAAGAATTAAACCACCACTGCAAATGATGAGTTCTGCAGAGAAACCTAGTGTTTCTCAAACATCAGAAAATGGAATGGATAATGCTGCATCACTGAAATCTAGACCATCAGAAGAAAGACATAAGAGAAATAATACAGACAAAGTAACTTTACCTTGAAAGTATTTTTAAAAATTTTTTTCAAGTAATTGTGGAAATATGCATTGAACTAACTTCTTTTGCAAGCTGCAAATGTCTCATTTTGTTTAAAGCATTACCTTTTTTTCCCCTAAGTATCATTTATTGCTCTTGAAAGTAGAGTCCTTCTGGCATATATGACTCATTTACTGTGCTTACAATAAAACTTATGAATATTCACTATAACTTGATTTACACATTTGGGAGCATAAATGAACTTGCCATAATTATGTAATTTATTATACAAATTCGTGACTGCTATAGGGAAGGCTGTGGTATAGGAATGTGAGATACAAGTGGACTGTGTCGTTAAGTTTCTCAAAATCTAGCATGAAAATTAGATAATAAGTTATAAGCATTCTCAGATGTACACATATAGGATGCAGTAGGAACCAAGTAGAGGGTCAAGTGCCTAACCCTGTAGCTAGATGTGAGGGTGAAGATCAGGAGATGCTTTTTAAGAAAATATGGAGAGAGAATTGACTTTTGAAAGGTCAATAAAGAGTCAAATGGATATTGAGGAGAAGGGCATTTGTTCCAGGTCGTTGAAAAGACAGAGCAGGAAAGGATAAGAGAGAATAGTTTCTTCAAGAAACAGGAGGTAATCAGAGTTGCAGATAAGCTTGTAAAGGAGGAACATCTAATAGCTTTTGTTTTTTCTGAAGTGTGAAGATGGTGAGTTTCTCCTAGAGATCTGTTGAAGTACAGGATTCAGGGACATGTAAAGCTATGTGCAAGGTAACGGAGAGGCCTAAGAATAACTGTTAGATAATGTTGAGGACTCAGTTTAAATATGACTTTTATAGCATAAATATGTTTATAAATATGTACAATTTTCTCAAAGCTTAGTAGCCTTGGTGTTGATAGTAAGATGAGAACAGATGATGGATTCTTAACATTTAAATGGGTATGTGGCAGAAAGATAAAGCGTATGAAAGTTGAAGATATTACAAGAAAATAGTCAAAGTAATGGTTCAAGTTGTCTTAAGTGTTTCTTAATAAGGGGACTATTTTTCAGTTGTGCGACATGGTCCTAAATGTTGTAGGATGATAAGCATCCTAGCTAGGATCGTGCTTACCTATTGTCAGGAGAAACCCTCTGTCGTTGTAACAACCCAAACCACACCTGCGTATTTCCGTAACGTTCCCCTCCCAGTGTGGAGAATCACTGGCTAGAGTAAGAAGGAGAGGCAGCCAGGATGAGGCAAAATATTTTAGACTAATGGGAATATTTTTCTGACAATAGTGGCAGATTTGTATTTGATCTGGATTAAGTGTGTATCTTTGGCTATGGAACTAGGGAAGCTCGCTGTAGGAAAGAAGTTACCTGGGCAATGCAGTAGATATTGTTATAAATAAAAAACTTACTAAACAAAAATCATCCTCTTCAATATCTGATGATAATTCTGAAAAAACAGGAAAAGTGAAATATAAGAAAGAGTGGACCATATCAAAATCGACAAAGCAGGCTATGTAATCAGTAGCAACTGGAGAGATTTCTCATGGAGAGTACAGAACTTGTCAGTTACAGATGAAAATTGAATTATTCTAGCTGTGGATGTGATCAGAACATTTATGCAATATTCTGCCTCATCTGCAGTGATAGTTTTCTTCTTGTGTTTTAGGATAGGGAACATTCAGAAATGGGCATAACGTTTATGAAATATATAAAGATAGTATCCAACTTTTCATATCAAGGCAGATTTATTTTAAAAGACTCAAACCTTAATACTCTAACGTTTAAGTTGTTTTCCTATAACATCTTAAGTTTACGTTAACATGTTTCCCGTGTTTACAGCACATCAAAACTGCTAAGTGTGTAGAAAACACAGAAAATATGAACGTTGAATTCCCAAACCAAAATTTTAGTAAGTATCTTGTGGTTTAATTTAATTGTAGTCATTTTTTTTTTGAAAACATACTTCTCCCTGTATTTTCCTTTAACTCCACTGGCTTTCATTGATTTGAAAAAGGTTTACAAAGAATTTGTTTGACTTTGTGCAAGGGATTTTTGAGGTTACAAAGAAATATACAACCTTTGTTCCCCAGAAGTTTGGGTCTAAGAGGACGCAAAATCGATCAATCCATTCATCCTAATACGTGAACCTTTATACGTTTCTATACTAACTCCCCATCCCACTGCCAACTGTATGAAAAAAAATGAAAATATAATAATACTTGTTTTATTTAGATGAACTCCAGGATGTTATACCTGATTCACAGGCAGTGGAAAAAAGAGATGATACTGTGTAAGTATGAGAAAATCATCAAATCATTTAGTCTATACTATTGCTGTTTTTAGTGAATACAACAGATTTGGAGGAAAAGGACTTTATATGATTAGAATGTAGCATTAATCATTTCTTAAGTGTTATGACAGCACAATGGGGAATGATGTATATGGTTTTTTCCCCCCATATGGACCAATATAACTCTTTTCAAGTGGAGAGACTTAAAATGAATGAGATTTTAAAAATGTATAAACAATGTGTAGAAATTTAACTTAGTTTACAGTAGAACATGTAAGATAAGATATATTTACATATTGTTTACACACATGTAATACATTGCTTTCAGTAAACTTTGATGACTACATTAAAAATCAAGGTCTTAAAGTCATAGGCTAATGTTTTATAACATAGTAAGCAAATTATTTTCTAGATTACCTGGTGTTTTAGACAACATCTCTGGAAATAAAATGCACAGCAAATGGGCATGTTGGACACCTGTAACAAACATTGAACTATGTAATAACCAAAGAGCAAGTACTTCATCAGGAGACACATTTAATCAAGGTGAAACTGAGTTTTATCTATATATAATAGTTCAGTGTTAATTTCCTCAAATGTCTAACAAGCATTAAAACAAATTTAACAAATTTTACATATTGTCAAATTATTAATTTTAAAAATTAATTTCTCATTTTCCTCAATAGATATTGTTATAAATAAAAAACTTACTAAACAAAAATCATCCTCTTCAATATCTGATCATAATTCTGAAGAAACAGGAAAAGTGGAATATAAGAAAGAACGAACCGACCATCTCAAAATAGATAAAGCAGAAGTAGAAGTTTGCAAGAAACACAATCAACAACAAAATCATCCTAAATATCCAGGGCAGAAAAGTACTGAAAACGCCAAGCAGAGTGATTGGCCTGTTGAATCTGACACTACTTTTAAATCGGTTCTCCTAAATAAGACAATTGAAGAATCGCTGATTTATAGGAAGAAATATGTATTGTCAAAAGATGTGAATACTGCTACTTGCGATAAAAATCCTTCTGCTAGCAAAAATATGCAAAGTCATAGAAAAGCAGGGAAAGAATTGACTTCTGAGCTTAATTCCTGGGATTTGAAACAAAAAAAAATGGTGAGCTTTCAATGTGTTTTGATTTTTGCATATCCATAAGATGCCTACTTGATAACATAAGAAAGAAGCTTGATTAATTGCTACACATTTAATATGTGTAGTACCTTGTTTAATTCAGTGCCCAGACTCTGAGAATTCCTTCTTAAACTCCTCACTCACCTCTCTCTTGTCCTAGCTCTGACAGAACAGTAGTAGGCACATATCAGACATGTAAATATGTATAGAATTAATGAACCATTTCTTTTTGGGTTCCTCCTACTCTTTCCTTTTGACTTGCATATAGAACTGTTTGTACATTTCTTATAATTCTTACCTTTCTTTTTAATAAATGGTTATTTTTTTTTCTCTCTATGAGACTGTAACTATAGACTATGTTTTATTCGACATTTGTTTTCCTGCATGTCCTAGCACAGCCTTGTACACAGTAACATCTCAAATATTTTTTGGATGAATGCATTTAACCTTGAGAAGGTTTTGCAAGAAAGTATGTAAATGGGGCCGGGCGCGGTGGCTCAAGCCTGTAATCCCAGCACTTTGGGAGGCTGAGACGGGCGGATCACGAGGTCAGGAGATCGAGACCATCCTGGCTAACAAGGTGAAACCCTGTCTTTACTAAAAAATACAAAAAACTAGCCGGGCGAGGTGGCGGGCGCCTGTAGTCCCAGCTACTCGGGAGGCTGAGGCAGGAGAATGGCGTAAACCCAGGAGGCGGAGCTTGCAGTGAGCTGCGATCCGGCCACTGCACTCCAGCCTGGGCCACAGAGCGAGACTCTGTCTCAAAAAAAAAAAAAAAAAAAAGTATGTAAATGGGTTGGAAGAGACTGTCTTCTATTGTAACTGTTACTCATCATCATTAGAGCTCCCACTTTCTTTTTCAGATTAATCATCTCTGGAGAACATCTCTAAGACATTTTTAGCTACTTTGCCACCAGACTTCCAGGGAAGAAAATTTTACTTTTTTGTAACAGTATGGGTAAATCATTTTTTCTTAACTATCAAAATGCAGATTAAGAAAAAAAAAACTTTAATTAGAGTATACATTTCCACTGCAAGTAATGCAATCTGCTTTTTGATATTTCTAAAATAATCCAGGTTTTGTAGGCTTTTATTTTCATTTATCTTCAGTAGTAATGCTGATACCTGCATAGCCAGATTTCTAGAGTCAATGTAAAATGTTCACACAATGTAACATCTCCATGTGCAAATTACATTTAAAAGATAATTTGCAACTGTATATAATTAGGCATTATTTTTCTCGACCAGTCTCCTTTAAAATATTTTCTACACCTGCAGCTCACTTTTTGTGCCTAATTCGGCTGTTTCCTTCTTTAATCATATTCTTTTGGGTCCCTTTTTTTCTTGGATCCTAATATGTTATTTTCTCTTTCTCAGCTGCTATTTACTTCCCTCAGTCCCAGGGGAAATAAGGTTCTTTTTGTCCAAACAAAGATCTGTCTTTAAATTTAAATTTTAAATTGCTTTTTTTGGTATTTAGAATAATTTCACATAATTTCCCTGAGCTAGTCATTTTTTTTTTCTGGGAGCACAAAACCTAATAATCTTTTCTAAGCTGTGCTCTGATTTTAAAAAAATCAACTTCCTGTTTTCAGAAATTGTCTTCAGTCCTTCACAGAGTCACTACCTGTATCCTATTTAGGATTTCCCACCAGTTCCATGAATCACTGTCTTCTACCTACCTACCTACCTACCTACCTACCTACCTACCTATTCATTTATTATAGTTTAAGTTCTGGGGTACATGTGCAGAACGTGCAGTTTTATTACATAAGTATACATGTGCCATGGTGGTTTGCAGCACCCATCAACCCATCATCTACATTAGGTATTTCTCCTAATGCTATCCCTCCCCTAGCCCCTCACCCCCCAACAGGTCCCAGTGTGTGATGTTCCCCTCCCTGTGTTCATGTGTTCTTAACTCCCACTTATGAGTGAGAACATGGGGTGTTTGATTTTCTGTTCTTGTGTTAGTTTGCTGAGAATGATGGTTTCCAGCTTCATCCATGTGCCAGCAAAGGACATGAACTCATCCTTTTTTATGGCTGCATAGTATTCCATTATATATATATGCCACATTTTCTTTATCCAGTCTATCATTGATGGGCATTTGGGTTGGTTCCAAGTCTTTGCTGTTGTGAATAGTGCCACAATAAACATACATGTGCATGTGTCTTTATAGTAGAATGATTTATAATCCTTTGGGTATATACCCAGTAATGGGATTGCTGGGTCAAATGGTATTTCTGGTTCTAGATCCTTGAGGAATCACCACACTGTCTTCCACAATGGTTGAACTAATTTACACTCCCAACAGTGTAAAAGCATTCCTATTTCTCCACATCCTCTCTAGCATCTGTTGTTTCCTGACTTTTTAATGATCATCATTCTAATGGGTGTGAGATGATCACTGTCTTCTAAGGTAGCCATCTGTCTGATACTGTCTTTCTACTTATTGGATCACCCCAGAGCAACCTATGTTCTTAAATGGCACAGATTTCCCAGGCTGGCTCCAATTATACTGGAATTTCTGAAATCATACAGTATTTTAGAGAAGGTTCATTTTGGTACATTTCTATCAAGACAAGTAAACCATGTTTGCAATCTGATAATCTTAAGGGAACATTAATAACTTAGTACCTATTATATATAAGAACATATGGACTTCAAAATGGTTAAAATAGTAAATTCTGTGTTTACTAGAGTTTTGTGTATATCACTATAATTAAAAAACCTATATGCCTTATAACCAGAGAAAAGTAAATATAAACTCAGGAGCCCTCATGTCTTTAAGAATATTACCGTAGTTTATTAAAACTAAGTTATCTAAATTATGCTGAGAATAATTCTTTTGTAGTCCTTTTACTTTTAAAAATTTATTTTTGGAGCAATTTTAGTTCCAAAAGTGAATAGAAAGTATGGAGATTCCTCATATACCCATTTACCCATTCCCCTGTTGTTAACATCTTGCATCACTGTGGTACATTTGGTAGAATTGATGAATCATTATTGATACATAATGATTATTAACTCAAATGCTTAGTTTACATTAGGTTTCATGCTTTGTTATACATTCTGTGTGTTTTGACAAATATGTAGTAAAGTGACATATCTACCATTACAGTATTACACAGAATAGCTTCAGTGCCCTACCATTCCCCTGTGTTCCACTTGTTTGTACTTTCGACTAGGAATGTGTTAAATCTATAGATCAAGTTAGAAAGAACTGACATCTTGACAGTATTGAGCTTTCTATCCATGTATGTGGCATATCTCTTCATTTTTTTAGATCTCCTTTGATTTCTTTCATCAGACTTTTGTAGTTTTTCTCTTGTACATGTTTTGTTAGATTCACATTTAAGTATTTCTTTTGGCAGTGCTAATGTAAATTATATTATGTTTTTGATTACAAACTCCACTTGTTCATTGCTGGTTTATAAGAAAGTGGTTGACTTTTGTATATTAACCTTGTAATTTGCAATCTTGCTACAATTGCTTATTACTTCCAGTAGTTTTGTTGCTAATTCTTTGAGATTTTCTACATAGACAGTGAGGTCATTTGTGAACAGAGACAGTTTTATTTCTTCTTTCCTAATCAATATACCTGTTATTTCCTTTTTCTGCTTATTGCCTTAGCTAAGAATTCCAGCACAATGTTAGAAAGAAGCAATGAGAGAGGACATTTTTGCCTTGTTTCTGATTTTAATAGGAAAAGCATCTTGTTTCTCACCCTTAAGTGTGATGTTAGCTGTAACTGTTTTTGTAGATATTCTTTATCAAGCTGAGAAAGTTTCCATTTATTCCTAGTTTGCTAAGAGTTTTTTATCATGAGTTTGTGTTGGATTTTGTCAGATGCTTTTTGTGTATCAATTTATATTGATTATTTTAAATTAGCCTGTTGATATGATGGAGTACATTAATTTTCAAATGTCAAATCAGTCTTGCATGCCTAGAATAAATTCCACTTGGTAATAGGTGCGTAATTCCTTTTATAGGTTGTAGGATTTGATTTGCTGATACTGCTGATGTTATAGATTTTTGCATATGTGTTTATGGGAGATATTGGTTTGTACTTCTACTTGTTTGTAATGTCTTTGGTTTTGGTATTAAGGGGATATTGGCCTCATAGACCAAGTTAGGAAGTAGTTCCTACTCTTCTATCTTCTAGAAGATTGTGGAGAATTGGCATAATTTCTTCCTTAAATGTTTGATAGAGTTCACCAGTGAACTCTTTCTGGTGTTTTGTTTTGGTAGGATATCAAGTATTCATCCCATTTCTTTAATAGACATAGGCCTAGTCAGATGATCTGTTTCTGTTTACGTAAGTTTTGGTAGATTATGTGTTGCAAGGAATTGGTCCATTTCATCTAGCCTATCACATTTGTGGGCATGGAGTTCGTAATATTGACTTATTATTTTAATGTCTATGTGATCAGCAGTGATGGTCCTTCTTTCATTTCTGATAGTGATTTGTTTTTTTCCTCTTTCTTCTTTGTTAATCTGATTAAAGGTTTATCAATTTTATTGATCTTTTCAAAGAAATGGCTTCTCCTTTTTTCAGTTTTTTATTCTCACGGGTAGAAACATTTTTAAAAATGTCTACAAAGCACTCTGTAAAGTTCTGTTAAAATATTTATCTTGAGTTATTTCAATGCCTAACAAAGCTCAAACTTATTAAATAATTGACTCTATTTCTCTTTACAGGTATAAATAGAACCAGATTTATCTTAAAAGTTTTTTTCAGCCTTTATTTTCCTTTGAAGATTAACTGGTAGAGTTTAAAAGTAACTTACAAATTTTTTCAGAGAGAAAAGTCAAAAGGGAAAGAATTTACCCATGCAGCAGAATCCTTGATAAGCCAAATCAATAAAAGATACAAAACAAAAGATGACATCAAGTCTACAAGAAAATTAAAGGAGTCTTTGATTAACAGGTATGTTCTTAAATTTCAGATATGAATATTTTTCTGACCGATATAACTATATTACACAATTTAAAAAAGGTTAATTTTAAACATAGGTTCAGATAATGTAACTTTTCAGTAGAAAACACATGGTTACTTAATACTTTTATAAATAGTAGATGTTTAAATTACACAGGAAGGGAACTAAATTTGAAATTTGTCATTCTATTGTCTAGTTACATTTTATATAGGATCAAACACATATCAACATAACATACCATTTTAAAAATAAATCTTTAAGATGTAGACATTGTACTTACTGAATCTAGTAATTAATAAACTAAATATATTTAAATACATTGCTTAATGAAATACAAAATTTAACCAGATATGAGAGTTTTTTTGTAGTAAATAGTACATTCTTTGCAGTCTTTCCAAAGATTGTGTTTATTACAGAATGTCCATTTATAGTCTGTCAGGTTGTTAATTGAAGTTTACGTTAATTCTGGCCTTACTATAGATCATGAATAAATGACTCTTATGGCAGAATCATTCATTTTAAATTCACACTTTCTGCTGCATTAATGATTCAGCTTTGAATGCTCTATTGTAAGTGCTATTTACTGTGAGTGAAGTAGCAAAAATATCAGACTATTACTGTTACATTTTGGTTATTTTTAACATATTGAATATAGATTTAGTGATATAAATGTGGTTTATCTTAAATAAAATGACTTTTATGAAAAATATTCTATTGATACTTAATTGCTTTTTCAATTTTGACAAAATCTTTTTTTACAGTGGTTTTTCAAACAAATCTGTTGTACAACTCAGTAAGGTAGGTGTTATTTACTTCACCAAATGTGTAGTCAAACTCAGTATTTGACCATAAACACTAAAATAACATAGTGGTAAAATGGAATTTGATAATGATGTTTTTGGCATATTGCTAAATGAATGATAACCACTGACAGGTTTAGTAGCAAGTACTCAGAATAGCCCTCCAACCTTCTGTTTTTCAAATAAAATGCTTCTATTAGATATATGAGCATAATATTTTTACTTTTTGGTATATGATTCAGTATATCCTTTTCACTGTGTGTGTGTGTGTTAATAGCCGATCCCATCTCTCCTAATAATTAGATCCTACTGAAGTTCCAATTTTGTTTTAAAAAACCTTTACTCTTTATCCAGGCTTATAATATAAATTATCTTTTTTCTAATTCCTCACAGTTGCTCTCTGTGTCCACTTAATATTTCAAGTTTTGAAGTTCACCCTCTGTAAGTTCTTCTTGAATGTTTTCTCCCCTGTCTAGGCCAACTCTTCTTAGCCCAGTTTCGGTTCTGATTTCTAATCTCTGGATTGTTACAATAGGCTTTATGTATTAATAATTTTCTTTGCCTCTAGCATTTCTCTGTGTCAATCCATACATTACATTCACTACCAGCTTTTTTTCTTTCCAAAGCGCACAGCTCCAATCATGCCACTTTCTTGTTCAGAAACCTTTTTTTTGGTCCCTGTTGCTTATTGAATTAAATGGAAACATAGACTGGCTCACTTGTCCCTTTAAAAGATTATCTTGTTTCTTAATTTTCTAGGCATGTCATGTTTAACTGAAACATGATAACTTGAGGTTTCCTGAAGTAAGTCTTTCCTAAGTATTTATTCTTTTTCTCTTTGCAATGAACTTTGAACTTAGTCAGCAGGCTCTCTCACCCTCTTATCTGATTATTAAAATATTTCTCTTTGCAAGTCTTGCTTTGTACCTTCCTTATGAAAACTTTCCAAGATGCCCTGACTCTCAAAACCCATTTGGCAATAATTCTGAATCTGTACAATAGAGTGTTTTGGTACCTTTTACATTTTTATTTATTTTTGCTATTTTACTCATGGGGTTTTTTTTCTTCTTCTTTTTTTTCACACACTTTATTCTGAATCATCTTTGTATTTTCTGTAACATTTTTGTGCTCACCTTTGTATCCTCTATAATACCATTGATACCTTTGGCTTATCTTCTTTAACATCTTTGCTCATTTTTACATATTCTGTAACAGCACACAAAAGATGCAACAGATGAATGAACACGTGTATACAAGCACTGGTAAAAACAATACTGGGAAGGATAAGTCAGATAAATGATCAGAGGAGTAATATATTGAGAGAACCTTTTTAAAATAATGCAAATACTTCTATATAAAATAGTTGAGAGAAATAAATTGAAGATGAGTCACAAAATAAAATTAATATTTTAGGTTTTAATATTTCTAACTTACTAGATAGTCTAATTATTTCTGATCAGTAATCATTAATACAACATATTACAATTAATAATTTATTAAATGTTATTTTATTTAACTTCTTTTCTGCCCTCACTACTTTGAGATCTGGTTGTATATCTTTTTAGTTGTAGACTGTATGAATAATCTAACACTTTTTTTTCCTAACAATACTAGTTAATTGATAGCTTTTTGACTCTCTTATATGAGATTTTACTTAAACCTTAGCCTCTCAAAGTTTTCTATTTAAGAGTTTAAAGCAAATGAAAATCCAAAACAAAGTAGAAGCATGCTTGGTTTGTGATCATGGCATCACCAAAATTTAGCTTGTAGAATTCCAGTAAGGAGGTCATTTATCTACATACAACAATGTCAGTAAGTATTAAGGTTAAAGGATTTTATTAGATTTACAATATTTTCTATTATATTTTTACTATTTAAGTCTTCAATATTTTAAAAAAGTAGTTTTCTTATTGCATATATTTAAGGTGTATAACATGATATACATAGTGAAATGGTTACTATAATCAAATTAATGTATTCATTCATCTTTGTGTGTATGTGGCAAGGGCACATAAAATCTACTCTTGGCAAATATCCCAAATATAATAGGTTGGTACAACAACCTATTATATAATACTGTATTATATAAAGTTGGTGTATTACACAATACTATTAATAGTCCTTATGTGTTCTGCATTATATCTCTAGACTTACTCATCCTATATATCTGCAACTTTGTATCCTTTGATCTCCCTTTATCCTTCCCCCCGCCATCCTCTGGTGACCACTGTTTTATTCTCTTATTTCTATAGATTTGACTTTTTTTTTTTTTTTTAAGAGTCCACATACAAGGGAGGTCATGCAGTATTTTCTTTCTGTCTGGTTATTTCGCTTAGCATAATGTCCTCTTGTCTTGGTTCATCCATGTATAGCAAATTTCAGGATATACTATTTTTAAGGCTGAATAATATTTCTTCATGTATATATACACGCACCACAATTTATCCATTCATATGTCAATGAATACTTACTTTGTTTTATTATAAATACCACTGCAATGAACATAGGAATGCAGATTTTTTTTTTTTTTTTTTTTTTTGAGACATAGAGTCTTGCTCTGTTCCCCAGGCTGGAGTGCAGTGGTGTGATCTTGGTTCACTGCAACCTCTGCCTCCCAGGTTCAAGCAATTCACCTGTCTCAGCTTCTTGAGTAGCTCGGACTACAGGCGCATGCCACCATGCCCAGCTAATTTTTATATTTTCAGTAGAGATAGGGTTTCACCATATTGGTCAGGCTGGTGTTGAACTCCTGACCTCAGGTGACCCACCCACCTTGGCCTCCCAAAGTGCTGGGGTTACAGGTGTAAGCCACTGCACCTGGCCCTAGGAGTGCAATTATACTTATGGGTGGTGATTTAATTTATTTTGCGTATATTTTTATTCAGTTTAAGGAGAATGTTACAAATGTCAGATTTATATTAGTGAAAGCACAACTAGAAAAATATTTAAAAATTAATCGCACATTATTTGTTTGGCACATAGTACAAGTTTTTTGTTGAGGTAAAATATAAAATTTACCATCTTTATCATTTTTAAGTGTGCATTTCACTGATTATATATATAAATATAAATATATAATATATAAATATATATAATATTACATATTTTATATATTTTATATATTTTATATATATATATTTAATCCCTTAGTTCCCCCCCTACTCCTTCCTACTCTTCCTGGCCTCTGATAATCACTGTTCTATGCTGTATCTCCATAAGATTCACTTTTCTAGCTCCCACTTATGAGTGAGAACATGGGATATTTGTCTTTCTGTGTTTGGCTCATTTCACTTTACTTTGGCCTCCAGTTACATCCATGTTCCTACAAGTGACAGGATTTCATTCTTTTTTATTGCTGAATAATATTCCATTGTATATACACAGACCACATTTTCTTTATGCATTTATCCATTGATGGACACTTAGGTTTCAATAATGCTGCAGTAAGCATGGGTGTGCAGATACTTCTTTGGTATATTGATTTCCTTTCTTTTGGATATATACTCAGTAACTTGCTGGATCATACTATAGTTCTATTTTTAGTTTTTTGAGGAATCTTCACACTGTTGTTCACAGTGGTTGTACCACCATTTGCATTCCACCAACAGTGTATGAAACCCACATCCTCACTAGCATCTGTTATTGCCTGTCTTTTTGGTACAAGCCATTTTAACTGAGGTGAGATGACATCTCAGTTTTTGATTTGCGTTTCTCTGATGATTAGTGCTGTTGAGCATTTTTTCATATACCTGTTATCCATTTAATGATTTTTTAATAACCCTCTTTTGTATTTAGGAAAAAGTTCAGAAAAAAAGCTACAGAAAACTGAAGACTACTTTTGTCAATGTTACTTCTGAATGCCCATTGTAAGTATTTTTTGTAAATATTTTTCATTTTCTTCATATTTGAAGAGACTACACGTATTTAAGTGGAGCTAATATTTCTCTTCATTTTCACAGGAATGATGTTTACAATTTTAATTTGAACGGAGCCGATGACCCTATCATAAAACTTGGAGTAAGCTAAAAATCAATAGATACTTTGTATTTACTGAGAAGTTACATTGTATTTACTGTGCGGTTATTAGATAGTATGTTTTTAATGTGCATCCTCTTACATGCTTTAAATTTTTTAAGAAATAGGTAATAATATTTTGGATAACCAGCCTATGTATATTTAGGTGTCTTTTTTTTCAATTTTTTTTTTTTTTTTTTGGAATAAGATAGAGAAAAACAAGCAATTGTGGGGTAGAAAGCCTTCACTACCAAGAAAATCACCCTTCTTATTGATGAAAAGTAAAACTCTTATTTATTTTTATTATATGTTTTCTTTTCAAATATAAATATTGTAGTAAAGTTAATTTTATGTCAAATCTTATTATTTTGTGAAGCAAAACTAGATGTTTATTCCTTTTAATTCTTGTTTGACATTGACAACTCTTTTTTTAATGTTTATTTACAATGTAGATCCAAGAGTTTCAAGCTGCAGCTAAAGAAGCCTGTGCGGATAAGTCGATTAGATTGTAGGTATTTTTATTCGATTAAAATATTCTGATCTTTTTTTTCCTCTTAAATATCTCTTCCCAGTCTTAGAGTTTAACAAATGAGAAGAGTGAATTAAAAATGGTAGTTATTATTACTCCCATTATGATTCTGTTACTTCAGCATTTACTCTAAATTAATATGCAAATTATCACTTTGAATATTAGTTGTATATCCTAGATCATGAAGCTGAAAAGACTTAGTAGTTCTTTAATCTAACATAGTTATTTTATAACTGAGGTCAGAGAGGATAAGTGGCTTGGCCAGAATAATATAGCTAATTAGTGAAAGAGTTAAGACTGAAAACTCAGGTCTAATTGTCCATTGTGTGTTACCTTAAGAAAACAAGTATGAAGGGTATTTTTTAATTAATACATATTTTTATTTAAGGGTAGGTCCAAGGAATCATGATGAACTTAAATCTTCTGTCAAAACAAAAGATAAAAAAGTAAGTTATAATATCTCAATATGTCTATTAGAAATAGTATTTCTCTTAATTTTTAATGTTAAAGATCATCAAAAACAAGAAAACAAAAATATTTTGATTGTTTTATTTATGCAACTATCCACATTCCTATTATGAATTTTCTTATTATCTTTCAGCTGTTTGTAATCATCTAATGAAATGACAAGTTTAGTTGTTTTTTTATATGTACTATTAGGTTATATCTCTCTGGAAATAAGTTGTTTTATCTTTGAATTAACAACATCAACACCAAAATGCAAATATCACTATCTGATCTGGTTTTCCAAGTGACTTTCTTGGATAGGTTATTAATGCCATCCTAAATTAGGATATTGTTTTTTGTTGTTGTTGTTTTGGTTTAACTTACCTTGCATGATATAATGAGATGTAGTATTTCTTCATGCATTTCAAACTTTTTTTATAGATTATAACAAATCATCAAAAGAAAAATCTATTTAGTGATACTGAAACAGAGTACAGATGTGATGACAGCAAGACTGATATTAGCTGGCTAAGAGAACCCAAATCAAAACCACAGCTAATAGACTATAGCAGAAATAAAAATGTGAAGAATCATAAAAGTGGAAAATCAAGTAAGAAATTATCTTTTGGAGAAATGTTGCAAATGATTTTACAATTTATTTCAATTATTTAAAATGCTTTATATAAGCTTATTTTATTTAGACTTCATTACTACATACTTTCATGGATAGGACAAAACACTACAATTTTTATGTTTTTTGTTTTATTATTTTGGTAATATGGTTATATTTAAATTTTATTTTTAATAGGACCTTAGGAACACAAATTATGATTTATCATGATCCTTGGCTCATGATTCTCATCACTTGTCTACTCATGGCCCAGTATTATCCAGTTATTTAGCTAATTATTGTGAATAATATACCAATTACTCATGAACTCAACACCTTTAAGATCAAGGCTTGAACTTTGACACTAACCTATATATATTTACATGTATTTACATTTATGTGTTTGTGTATAAAATATTTATATGTGTGTGTATATTTTTTTTTACTAAATATCCCATCTTCTTGCTGCACCCAACATGCATCCTTTTTAAGGAATTTATATAGACACAAAAAATATATCAAAAGGCAAACAATTTTCTTCCAGATTTTTTTTTTTTTTGCCTAAGTTTTCCACAAAGTAGTTTCCTAGAAAGTGGTTTCTGCTTCGTCTTTGTGATAGTGAATCTCTTGAAGTAGTTGGTATGAGTTTCAGGTATAAGTTTTGGCTAGAGAGAATTACCATTTTCACAGCTGAACATCAATTTCAATGTTTGCTAAAACAAAGATTTTATATGTTGCATTTTTAAAAGAAGACTTAACTCTGTGATTTGCAATTAAATGTATATTTATTTTAAAGGCGTCAGCTTTTATTTTATTCCAGGATTAAAAATAACCAATAGTTACCTAAAAGTAGAAGTGAATTTTGGCATGTGTTTAGAAATGAAGCTGAGTCTTGAAATTTAGGTGAGGGGTCACCAGATACATGAGGAAGTAAAGCAGCAGAATTATCATATATAAAAGGGAGAGAAGTATGGAATAGCATAGTATAATCAGGGAATGCAGTATTAAGGTATTTGGTACATAGATCATATTTGTGGGAAAATGGTGAAAGGTGAGGCTAGATTGCATCGTAGTCTGAACCTTGAAGCAGCCAAAGAGAAATATAATAAGACTCACATGCCCTCAGGGACCATACCGTCTAGTGGGAAGATGTACAAATAAAAACATTTATAACATAAAGTAGATTAGAGATCTCAGGAAGATGTTAGAGGTTAGAATACTGTCATCACTAAATATTTATGAAATTGAAATTCTGTATGAATTCTTTTGTTTAAATTATTGAACAACTACAAGTTAATGTGTTTGAGTTGACTTATTGCCAAGATTAGAGGACCTTTCTTCCAAAACAGCTTTGCTTCCTTTGCTTGGATAATCTCATTTCTTAGGTTTCAGAGACTATTTGGAAAGATACTTGAAAGGCAAAAAAGGGAAGTGGGACTAAAGCTGCTATCAATAATATGGATAAATCTTATTAACATAGTGATGTATGGAAAATAAATCATAGGATATTATACAGGATGTGGTATTTTATAGATCTCGTTATATTGTTTAGAGATATATATCTGTGTAATAACACTTGTTTTTAAAGCAAGTAACTAAGACCTGCAGATTTCAGGACAGTAATTACCTTTTAGCAGAAGGGACACGGAGGATGGTATAAGAGAGCATACGTAAGTAGATTCAGCATTATCCACAATCTGGTTCTTAAATTGAGTGGTAGATTTATAGGTGTTAACTTTATAACTTATGTTGACATATTCTCTTATATGTTTAAAAAGTTCTATAAAATAAAGGAGTGGGAGGAAAACTGGCAATTCATATCATACCCAAACACTATACAGTAAAAGTTATCAATTCTTGAAAATTACATTTTTGGATGAGTTTAAAGATGGTGCCAATCAGAGATGTGGTGCAGTTGGGCTACTAAAAAGTTCTGGGAAAGGAAAAGCCTCCAAAGTAGTGTATCATTGTGAGGCCAGATTCTTCAGCAGAAGGGGTGAGGAGAAGATTACGGTGTCAGGAGGGCTGGTATCCTGGTGGCCTGAAGCCACATGGAGGTTCATTTATTAAATGCTAACAAATGCTTTAAAAACTTACTGTTTTTTATTATTTTAATTTAAATATGCTGAAATGATGTTCTCATAAATTTAATGACCATTCTTATCTACTGTGAAAATTTAACCTTATTTTTCTGAATTGCAGGATCATCCTTGGAAAAGGGACAACCAAGCTCTAAAATGGTAAGCCAAGAAATTTGTGTTCAAACATCCCTTTACAATTACTTTTTCTTGTCATATGAAAATAATTCATCATCTCATAATTTTATTCTTGTTATCAGTTATGTGTGTTATGTACTTGTTCCTCCTTTTGCACCCTTTCTCCTGACTTGTTTCTTTTTAAATCACATTGGCCTTTATTTGACTCCATTTTATTCTGTGCTTTTAGATATTTTTTTAAATCTCTTTTACTTCAGTTAGATAGTATATATCAGGCTTCTCAGGGATTTAATGGTAGGGATACAGAGCATGGTAAAGAAGGTAACTGGAATGGGAAGATAAAATCCATTAATTTAAAGTATGTTAATCAAAAATCATTCTTACAAATATTTTACGTAAAGCTTGTCACAGTGCCAATTTTATAGCAAATTGCTTGTATTTCTTGTGCCTCAAATATTGATCTAATAATATTCAGGAATTTTTTTCCTAAAGATACCCAGTAAAAATATCACCAAAAAGATGGACAAGACAGTTCCGGAAGGAAGAATCAGACTTCCACGAAAAGCAACCAAAACAAAAAAAAATTATAAAGATCTCTCAAATTCAGAATCAGAGTGTGAACAAGAATTTTCACATTCGTTTAAAGAGAACTTGCTAGTAAAGGTAAATACAGTTCAGATTAATTTCTAAAAGCCTCTTAAAATATTAAACATATCTTTTTGTAAAAAATGTCAAATTTATCTTGTTACTTCTTAAGAGTTAACTTCCTATGTGACAAAATTTAATAATTCTAGAAATTTGCCCTTAGGCAATAGTTGGCATTTTTGTTATAAAACAGATGTCTGCATCTAGTGAAATTATAACCTTATGATAGTATTTTTGAAATGGAGAAGTACTTAATCTTCTAAAATTAGGCTTTAATAAAGTATAGCATGGAGAAGTTGTCCATCTGTTGAGTGAAAGCAAAATATTGGTGTCTGAGGTTCTTCTCACACACTGGCTCACCTGTCACCATCCCTGACTTCTTCCTTATGTCTCATAATGTCCAGACACTTTCCCAGTCACCTGTTCTTGAAAGCAAAGTTATTTATTTGTCTGGCAGTCCATCATCTATAGAAGTAATGAGATGTCAGTATAATTTCATTTTTTCGTCAATATTCAGTAGTTTTCTGTAACTCCAATTATGGGAAAAATATATATACTTATATATATCACTATATATAGTAACCACTGTACATATACACATATAGTGTATGTTTATAGTATATAAATATATGTAGTGCTTACAATGTGCCAGCTGCTATATTAAGCACTTTACAGATTTAATGTCTTAAAATCTCATAAGTACTATAGGTAATTAGTACTATTACTGTCATCCCATTTTACAACTGAGAAAATTGAGGCTCAGAGAGAAGGAGCTTGCTCAAGGTCACACAGCTAGGAAGTGGTAGATCTAGGATTTGAAACCAGAGAGTCTGGCACTAAAGATAGGTTTCTGACCAGTACAGTGTGCTGATTTAATGTCATAAACTTCCATCTCTTCTTGTTCGCAATCTTGTTATCTCTTACCCAAAAGACTTTAAAGATTTCCTAATTTTCTATCACTTTTTTTTTTTTTTTTTTTTTTGAGACACAACCTCGCTCTGTCACTGGGCTGGAGTGCAGTGGTGTGATCTTGGCTCACTGCAACCTCCGCCTCCAGTGTTCAAGCGATTCTCCTGCCTCAGTCTGCCTAGTAGCTGGGCTAATCTTCTTTGAACCCTCAAAGAAGGCTGGCTATTTGTATCTCTTAAGATATTTATTATAGTAAATGTATTATATTCTCCTGGGAATTTGTCTTATGGCTTCTAGTATATTAGAAAGTCTTTCACTACTCATATCTAGGTCCTTGTTATACCTGTATGTGGTAATATACAACCTTTAATAAATATTTGAATATAATTTGTTTTATGTGTCCAAGTGTAAATATTTGTACTTGAATATAATTTGAAAGTTATTGATACATTTAGGAGGAGAATATCCGTTCCAGAATGAAAACCGTAAAGCTACCAAAGAAACAACAGAAAGTCTTCCATGCTGAAACAGAAAAGGAACTATCAAAACCCTGGAAAAACTCATGTCTGCTAAAAGATACTATACGAGATAATTGCCTTGACTTATCTCCTAGATCTTTATCTGGCAGTCCATCATCTATAGAAGTAACGAGAGGTCAGTAATAACTTCATTTTTTCTTAACTTGAATATTCAGTAGTTTTCTATAACTCTAATTATAGGAAAATACAATTTTGAGGGGCATTGGTGATTATAGTACTTAAAACTTCATTGTTAAGCTAGTTAATGCTAGTAACTTGACTTTTGATAACATGGGAACAATGCTACTAGGATACTGAAGTTTTTCATGTTAGGAAGTTAAAGATCAAATGCTTTAATGTGGAAAATATTTAGTCACAAATTATAACTTGAAATCTTAAATACTTAATTTTAATGTGCTTTTTTAGCTCAATATATATTTAATAACATGAGAATTTATGGATAATTCTGTTTTTTCTATTTATATTTCATTGACAAAAGTCCAAGGAATATCTTGGACCCACAGTGGATTAATACTGTATACAGTTGAGGTTTTGCTTTTACTTTTAAATAATTGGCAAAGAAAAATTCATATTCTTTGGAGCGCTGGTATATGTGTATGCCTACTAGTATAGAAAGTATAAGCTTGCCCTTTTTATACCATTTTTGTTTCCTTGCAAGGACATTTTAAAGCATTTCTAAATGCTAATCATTTCAGTTAAAATGCAAGACTTAAATCAGTTAGTATACTTCTGCTTCCTCTAAAGTAGCTATTGTGTTCTCAGTACTAAGGACCACGATAAAATTTCACATAAGCACATACTTATAAGACAGATGTACATGCCCTGATTTGATCTGAAAATTGTCTGAGGATTTATTTATATTAAGATTTATTCCAGCAATAAATTTTCTAATTTTTATGTGAAAGATGTAGAGCAGATGATTTCTTTTTCAATGATAAAATTTTGTTACATTAAAATATACAACACTGTCAGCTATGATGTCAAAATACTCAAGATAATAATTAGGTTGATCCTTATATTTCAGGTCATACTGTAGATATTTTTATTGGAAAATGTTTTGAAAGTTCTTGTGGTTACAAGTATATTTTAAATTCAGCCATTATTGTTTTTCAGTCTTATAAATATTTTAAATATAACTTGGTTTTAATTTTTTTAAAAGGTATCCTTTTTTATAGCCAAGACTTGAAGATTTGACAAATCTTTATATTCTTAGAATTTAAATTAATCATGCTATTTCTAAAGCAGACATCAATGATAGCGCTTGCCATCTGTTTTCTTGTGTTTTTTGATGCAATGTAGGTGTAGAGAAAATAACAGAAAAGGATTTTACTCAGGATTATGACTGCATAACAAAATCTATATCACCTTATACAAAAACTTCATCACTTGAATCTTTAAATAGTAACAGTGGAGTTGGAGGTACAATAAAGTCACCCAAAAACAATGAGAAAAACTTCCTGTGTGCAAGTGAAAGTTGTTCACCAATTCCACGACCACTGTTTTTGGTGAGAATGTATATATATATTTTTCTTTATCAGATATATCTGCAGGTAGTAAGTCATTTTCCCTATCTTAATCGGATACACATTGCTTGTCTATTTAAGGTTTTGGGTTTGGTCTAGGGTCTTGGGGGAGAGGGACATAATAACAAGAGAGAGATAGTTACCAGTCTTGATGAACCTAACAAAAAATAAATATATAGCTACACAGGAGGAAGAATGTGGTAGCAGGAGAGTACAGTAGTTTCTCATTATCTGTGGTTTCACTTTTTGAGGTTTCAGTTATCTACAGTCAACTGTGGTCTGATAATATTAAATAAGAAATTGCAGAAATAAACAATTCATATGTTTAACATTGTGTGCCATTCTGAATAGGGTGATGAAATCTTGAGCCATCCATTCTGTCCCTCCTGGGACGTGAATCAACCCTTTGTCCAGTGTATCCATGCTGTATACCCTACCTGCCTGTTAGTCACATAGTAGCCATCTTGGTGATCAGATCAACTGTAGATGTATTGCAGTGCTTGTGTTAAAGTAACCCTTATTTTACCTAACAATACCGCCAAAGGGCAAGAGTATTGATGCTGACAGTTCAGATGGGCCAAAGAAAAGCCATAAAATACTCCTTTAAGTGAAACGGTGAATAGTCTGTGCTTAATAAGGAACCAAAAATAAGGTATGTCAAAGTTGCTAAGATCTATGGTAAGAATGAATCTTCTTTCTATGAAATTAGGAAAAAGAAATTTGTGCATAGTATAATAGGGTTAGATACTATCCATGGTTTCAGAAGGGTCTACTATATTTTAAGAAGAAATGGTACATATAATTTGATACATAGATGAGGAAGAATGAAGAAATTTTTTTCAACATATATTTACTTTTTATATTCCTACCATTTACCTGTTAAACTTCCTTATAAACACCTAAACCAAATATTGTAATTACACTGTTTTCAACTAAATTGTCCATTTACTTTGTCAACATGTAATTTTTGTAACTAAAGGTTATTAAAGGCCGTAGACTTTATGGTGAAATCTGAAAGAAGTACCTGCATTGCAGGAATAAGCATATTCAGATCTAGAAAATGTGTGTAGTTCTAATGTGTAGAACAATTAGTAGTATCTCTTAGGAAGTGATCATTCCTACTACAAAACTCTTATCTGTACTCTGTATAGTAATCACCCCTTATTCTCAGGGAATACGTTCCAAGACCCCCGTCCCCCAATGGATGCCTGAAATGGAGGATAGTGCTGAACCCTATATATACTATCTTTTTTTCCTATACATACATACCTATGATTGTTTAATTTATACATTAGCTTATAAATATGCAATTTATAAGTTATTACAATGACAAAACAGAACAACTATAACAATACAGCATCACTACTCTTGCTTTTGGGGGCCATTATTTAGTAAAAATAAGGATTACTTGAGCACTGCAATATCTCCAGTCAATCTGATAATTGAGATGGCTATTATTTGACTAACAGGCAGGTAGCATATACAGCATAGATTATGCTGGACAAAGTGATGATTTTCATATCCCAGGCAGGACAGCAGGACAGCCAGAGATTTCATGGCACCACACAGAATGGTGCACAATTTGAAACTTATAAATGATTTCTGGAATTTTTCATTTAATATTTTTGGGCTATGGTTGAGCATGAGTTATTGAAACCATGGAAAGCAAAACTGCAGCTAAGGGGGACCATTGTGTGCCAGACAGATAAAAGTGGAACTATGCTGTTTTAAAGTCAAGGTAGGAGATCTAAACGCTAGATCTACCTAGTCTCCCTCACCTCCTTCCCTCAAATAATCCCCAAGGCATATTTTCAAAACTGAGTTTCTACAGACCACAATTTGAAACCCATTTTCACACTAGTGAAATTCACACAAATTCTCCTGTGATCCTTTATCAATATAGTCGGCCCTCCATATCTGTGGGTTCCACATCTGTGGATTTTCAACCACAGACAACACTATATATTTTTAACTGTGTCTGTATTGAACACGTACAGACTATTTTTCTTGTCACCATTTCCTAAACAATACATATAACAACTATTTAAGAGTATTTACATTGCATTAGGGTAGCATAAGTAATTTAGAGATTACTTATGTATATGGGAGGATATGTATAGGTTATATGCAAATACTGAACCATTTTGTATCACAGATTTGAACATCTTCTGATTTTGATATCCACAGGAGGTCCTAGAACCAATCCCAGTGTTTCTGTCATTCTCATTTGCCCCACATCCTTTAATCCCGTCAGTGTGCCACCTTGCAAAATCTCCAAACCTAGGTAATCCCCACCCATCATCTTTGATGCTACTCTGCATTAGATGGAATTTTAATAGTTATATTCATTGGCTGGACACTCATGAGACATTCCCCCCATGTTTCCCCTTTACTGTCAACTCTTAATAAGGTGTTGGAAATTTGCTTTATGCAGTAGTTGAACCTGCTTACATTCTCAACACTATGAGATAGTGCTCATTTCTCTACAGTTTTAACTAACGAGGTGTTATCAGATGTTTCTGTTTTTGCCAGTCTGGTAAGCATAAAGTTGTGTCTTTAATTGGCATTTTCCTGACTCATGGCATCAATGAGTATTTTCACATGATTTTGGCCATTTTGTGAATTCCCTGTTTTCTTATTTTTAAATTGCACTGTTTGATTTTTCTTACAAATTTGTATGAGTTCTTAATATATTCTGGATATTCTTTATTTGTTGTATATGATGTAAACTTTCTTTTCCTACTATGTATATTTTCACTTAATTACACAACTTCCCTATGACAAAAGATAGGATATAATCAAATTTACCAATCTTTTGGGTTGTTCAAGAAATCTTCCCCTAAGCTATTGTCACAAAAATATTTTCTTATAAAAATATTAGTTTTGATTTTTAAATTTTAGGTTTGGGTCTCTCCAGGCTTTCTTTTTCATATGGATATCAAATTAGTGCAACATCAGGAGTGAAATAATCTTAATTTAGTCATAGGCCGGTGATCACATGGGCCTGGATTTGGCACTATTAGATTTTACTGTTTACTGGCCTGTTTATCTGTCTCTGTGCTAATGCCACCATTGCTTTAATTAGGCTCATTTTACATTTATAGGGTGTCACATACCCCCTGCCCCACCATTCTTCAGAATTCTTTTGGCCCTTTACTGATTCATATACATTTTAGAATTCATTTGTCTAAGGGAAGAATTGCCATTTTTCAATATTGATGTTGATCTTTCTTAGGTAAACATCATTTATCTCTCCAGTTTTTCATCTTATTTCCTACAAAGTTGGGCAAAGTCTTCTACAAAGGAAATTATGCACCTTGTTGGATTAATTCTTAAGTATCTTATGGGTCTTCTTTTTGCTGTATTTAAAAAAATCAGACCTTTTTTTAAAATTATAGTTTCTGAGTTTTAAATTTTTTATATAGAAAAACTATTGGTTGTTTTATCTCCAACAACCTTGCTGAATTTTATCATAATTGCCTAGATTCTCTTGGCTTTTCTGTATAGACAGCCGTATAAACTGTTACACATAAAGACTGGAACAGAAAATGCAAAAAAAAAGTTCTTATTCATGTTCTTGTTAAGGTGACTTTGACCTCTGGAGCATAGAAACTGTACTAGCAGGGATCCTTATCTACAGGTTTTGGTCATCAAAGTAATAATCTACTTGCCTAAGGATTTTTTATTTTTAGTTATGAATTGAAATTGAATTTTTGCAGGGAATTAGGTAGTTTTGAAGTTTTGCTTTAATGTTTTTTATTATGTTTATGTTCAACTCTTTTTGAGGGGGGGCTTTGAACAATTTTGTAACTACTTTTGGGTTTTTGTATGTCTTCATTCATAGCCCAGACATACTCCAACTAAGAGTAATACTATTGTAAATAGAAAAAAAAAAAGTTCTCTGGTACTTACACAAGAAACACAAAACCGTAACAGCTATTCAGACGTAAGCAGTTATAGTTCAGAAAAACGGTTTATGGAAATTGAATCTCCAAATATCAATGAAAATTATATACAAAGCAAAAGAGAGGTAAGTATGGTACTATAACTTATAAATTTTCCTTAAACTACAATGGCTCTTGTAAGACTCAGATTACTGACCTTTAGTGGTAATTGTAATATTTTAATGCCTTTCAACTGTTATTACCTGCAAATCTGATTTTCAAAGTATATAGAATGGCTTGATCATAGAAAAATGTTTTTTGATAGAAGAAAGTTGAAACTTAAAATGGGAGTAGTAAGGTCTTAAATAGTGAGGATATCACTGCTGAACTCCGGATTGCATATTTATAAGTGGCACTTTCTGGTTTCATGAATATATAGGTATTTGGTTGAACTTCCTGCCACCATAAAAGCCCATCCATCCCTCAATAAAAATATTTTAATAACCTGTAAAATATAGAAAATCAAGACAGAATTTTACAACTTGGAGAGGGCTGGGATTTGAGCTAGACCTAAGTGGATGGGTAGGTATATGTAGATTAAGTGAAGAAAAATCAGTAACCTATGTAAAGGTTACTAAGTAAAAAAACCTGTATATTTAAATAGTATAACATAAGGTTAGATGTGAAAGATGTGGTTTGAAAGAAGAATAGTTTAAACTTTAGTTTTCTGTGGCTCCTCATTTCCTGACTCAAAGAAATGAAAAGCAGGAATAGAAAAAAAAGTAGCTTACATCACAGCTATTACAAGAAGATTGAGGTCAACTTAGAATCAAGGTTAACACATGGTAAATATTAGAGATGAAAAGGAAGGGATAGAAACAATCTGAGAAATAATTGACAGCATTTAAAATTATTGGCTTTTGGGTTTGAGAAAGATGATGAAATGTGAATCGAAACATATTTACAGAATTATTTTCTAATTTCTAATACATATTTTAGGAAAGTCATTCAGCATCTTCATTATCCAAGTCTAGTGAAGGAAGAGAGAAAACGTGGTTTGACATGCCCTGTGATGCTACTCATGTATCAGGTTTGTAGTCGTAGTCTTGCTTTTTAAAAAATGATTACTGAAATGCTGCATGACATTTCATCTAAAGAAATTATGTATTTTTAAGTCATACCATTATTCAACTTAATGGAAAAAGAAAATAAGTAAACTAGGTAGAATTGAATGCATAATTACCTAAAACATAATAAAAATACTTAGTGGAAACAAAGGCTTTTTAAAATAAAAGCAAGAAAATATTAGGTATTTTTAATGAAAATTGTAGCACTTTTAACTTTCTTTAACTGTTCCTAAGGCCCCACTCAACATCTTAGTCACAAACGGATATACATAGAAGATAATCTGAGTAATTCCAATGAAGTAGAAATGGAAGAGAAAGGAGAAAGGAGAGCAAACTTGCTTCCCAAAAAACTGTGTAAAATTGAAGATGCAGATCATCATATCCACAAAAGTAGGTAGATCAGTAGCCTGTATCAAAATGCAGTTATTTGGAAGGTGGTTCTTATATTTTGAATGAGTCTATTTACAAAACAAATTTGTAAAGACAACTTCAGATATGTCCAAGATGGATGATGCTTTATTGCAAAGTTCACATTTATATGAATAATTGTTGTAGTAAGGGTCTTATATACCCATAGATCTCCCTCATCATTCTATCACTTATCACATTTAGGTTTTACTAGAGTATGAATTTACTGATGTGCTAGTACCTCATTAAATACTTAACAATAATGTGGAACTAGTTAAAAAGCAGTTAAAAAATAATCCATAAATGTTCCAGCTTAAAGTAGTCATTTCTGCTGTAATAGCCATACCAAAAAGTTTGTTTTATAAATCAGAATAATCTCCTTTTTAAATTAAAAAAACAGAAGGAACTCTTCTGCCTTTGATTTCATAATCCGTAGGTTTCACATATATTCAGAAAATAAGATAGATTTTGTTCTTAGCCTAATTACAAGGCTAAATTTACAGTAATGCATATTTTAACTTCAGCAGATTGTTTTTATTTTTTAGTGTCTGAAAGTGTATCTTCATTATCAACAAATGACTTTTCTATTCCTTGGGAGACCTGGCAAAATGAATTTGCAGGTATAGAGATGACTTATGAGACTTATGAGAGGTTCAATTCAGAATTTAAGAGAAGAAATAATGTGAGTTATTCTTTAAATTATGATTTATACCCAATAATATAATAATATGCCACACTTTCGACTAGACCATTGGCTTGTTGGATCCTTTGGCAACAAAATATCCATTCATGAAACCAACTTTCCTTATATGTGAATAATTGGAATAAAATCTGTATATTATCCATATTCTTTCTTTTGCTACTACTTTTTTCTCTTTTGTCCTATTTTCCTTTTCAATTTAATGTTTTGGCTTTTCTATGATTTTTCTTTTTTTACTGGACAGTTTTCTTTTCATGCCACTTTTCAAGACATTTTTTATCTCATGGAGGTGACCATTAATGAAGGTAGTATAGTGTAGTATAAAGAATGAGCAGCTGCAGTCAGAGAAATACCATTTCACTTCATTTTACTAGTTCTGTATTATACTTATGTAGTGTTAGTTTTTGAGGTTCCAGTGAGATAATGCAAAAATGCTTTTTAAAACAATTTTTAATTATTGGTAATATTTTTCTGCCTATCTCTTTCACATGCCTCTATTTGGAATCGATAGCTTTTTATGCCCTCCTGTGAATAAAAGATTTTTTTGGCACAGGTTATCAACCCCAACCCCCCTGCCCCTGCAATCTTGCTTTCCTTTCTTCTATATTCGGGGTTAAAATTAGAATTTGCTTGTTTTTTCTCGTTTTTTTTTTTTTTTCTGCCCAAGGTCAACCTAATCTGAATAGAGAAGCTTTGACTTATATATTCAAATGTAGCTACAGACACATATTAGAATATATGTTTTTGTGAAAAAAAATGGTTTTAAAAAATTCTGAGTGTGACTTTTAGGCTGTGTCTTTGAAGAGAATTATGACCATCAGCATTTTGATAAATACTGTAGAGTATGGTGTTCTTATGAAAACAGTTGAGGAGTAATTCAACCCTTAGTCAAAAACTTACTGATGGAGTTAAATAAGTTCACTCAGAGCAGTGTCTATTAACACTTCAGTTTAAATAACTGTGTTTTTAAATTTTTCACTTTTTCAAGTTCGTAGTAATTTACATTTCATGGAAAATGATTTGCTCTTACTGTAGTCTTGGTTATATTGTTATTTTGTAAAGATATTTTAAGTTTAAAATGAATATTTTTCAGATCCGACATAAAATGTTGAGTTATTTTACTACACAGTCTTGGAAAACAGCTCAACAACATCTGAGAACAATGAATCATCAAAGTCAGGACTCTAGGTCTGTAATACAAATCTGTTCTGAAAACTTTTGAATGCTACATATTCTGAATGCTACAGTTTTTAAAATTAATCTCATTTTGTTTCTGTAATAGGATTAAAAAACTTGATAAATTCCAATTCATTATCATAGAGGAGCTGGAGAATTTTGAAAAAGATTCACAGTCTTTAAAAGATTTGGAAAAGGAATTTGTGGTTTGTTACTTTTAAAAATTTTTAAATAAGTTTAAAACCTTGTTTTTAAAGAGCTATACTTGGAAAAACTTTCTTTTTTGGGAGCACATCCTAAAGCTTTTTGTTCAGAAAATAATTTAGTTTTATCTTAGTTTTGAAGTACAAACTTAAATTTATGATTAATATCTTTGATAATAAATGAGAAATCCTGAGAGATTTTACTTTCAATTTTATTTTAATTTGAAAGAGCATGTGACATCTGGAATATTCTTAACATACAGCCATACTGTTTGTTTAAATTTGTAATAATAGAAATAGAGTAATTCTACTGTTGGATTTTAATTTTTAATAATATTAAAGTTTAACTGGATTTTATACCTTACAATGTAGGACTTTTGGGAAAAGATATTTCAGAAGTTCAGTGTATATCAAAAAAGTGAACAACAGAGGTTAGTATGACATTCTTAATGACTATAATCTATGAAATTAGATTTTTAAATTAATTTCTATTTGAAAACTTATGAATACTATATTATAGCACTCTAATTTGAATTATTGATAAATACAAAGTTAACTCTCATTATTTTACTTGTTAGGCTTCATCATTTGAAAACTTCATTGGCTAAAAGTGTCTTCTGTACTACTGATAATGAAGAAACTATTTTTACATCTGAGGTATACATTTTATGCTTTTTATAGGTAACCTTTCTTGATTACAAAAAGAATTTGTTAATCTAACTTTGTCTTTGCTGTGAAAACTTTATGGTAAATTTCCTGGGTGAAATATATTTACATTTTTACAGATGTGTTTGATGAAAGAAGATATGAAAGTGCTGCAAGACAGGCTTCTTAAGGACATGGTAAGTCAACTAAGTTTGAAAATGAAATAATCATACTTTAATGACTTTTGTTTTTGATTTTTTTTGTTTCTGCTTTTATGTCTTTTTCTTTTTGGGTTGAGAGAAGATAGTTTTAGCCCAATTACTTTTAGTTCTTTAAATAATGGGAGCATATTTATATGAAAGAATAGGGGGAATTTAAACAGGCCCTCCTAAGGAATAAAAGAGAATATTAATTTGCAAATTGAAAAATTAGCTGAAAGAATGACTTGCTTGCAGTTTCTAAACACTGTGTACTGCAGCAGGCCTCTGTCCTGCTCTGTCTTCTGAAGGAGAAAATATGGCAGGACAAAACTCCCAAAAAGTCTGTAGTTTAGTAGAAGAATTATTGTCTCTTTGGACAAGATGTCATTTACTTAGATTTGAGGATAAAATTAGTTTACTTTCCAATGGCCTAGCAGACCAGCAGCTGCATTCTGGGGTGGAAACATGGACCTGGGAAGGGACTAAAGGTATTGCTTTAAGTGATAATGTCTTTGGAGTTTTCTCAAAGATGAAAGGCATTTTTAAGTACACTGATCTTTGTATACACAGTGTATTAATGTACTTACAAATTGTGTTTTAATAGAACCTCAATATGCTGACATAGTACGGGATCAAGATGTTGTGGCTAAGCTAGTTTAGCTTCAAGCAAAAAAGAAACTACTTAACTAGGTTGATCTTTGTTGAAATTGTTTTCTAGACTTTTTATTTTACTCTCTTTAAAAATTGAATCTAAGTTTCATTAATTTGGGGCTTTAAAAGATTAGAGCCTTCTCTCAACTGATTGTCTCGAATATCAGTAATGATCACAGAATTCTGTAGATATCGAGATATAGATCTGTTAGAATGCAATATCTTCATGAAAGAAGTTGTTTTATAACAGCTTGAATTTTTTTCTAAGTGTGATTTTTTTTTTTCTTGGCCATAGCTAGAAGAGGAGCTTCTTAATGTACGCAGAGAACTGATGTCAGTATTCATGTCTCATGAAAAAAATGTTAATGTGTGAAATCTAGTTTTTATCAACATATTTTATCTAATTATTCTTATCTGTGTATAACTGAGGGAATAAGAGTAGTCCTACAAAGAGAAAAATATACATGTTACCCAAGCAAGTGTACCCTTTATAGGAACCCTCAACATAAAAAAAAAAAAAAAAAGTCTTTTAATGGATGAGAAACACCCACTATAACATGACTCCAAGCCCAGAAGACTTCTGTCTATACACTATTATTTTTTAATTTTGGAGATGAAAGCTTCAAGAAACTTTTTGAGTTAATTATACTCATAAAATGAGTTTAATTAAATTTTATTGTGTAAAATGTATTATTACATAAAATGTGTTTTTGAATCAATGCAGTTTGGGGATGAATATAATTAAAATGTTTAATAGCTTAGAATTCAACTAATAAAAATTTAGCCACACTTACAAGGGGGAGGAAGTCCCTAATTTAAAATGTATACCTGAGTGGTAGATCAGTACTTTCAGCACACTGTTGGAAACATTTATTTGGTTATGGCTCTGGCCTAAAAAAGCTACTACGTTGCCTAAATATGTTAATTCAGTATAGAAGTCCTATTTCATAAGCAGGCTGTTTGACAAATACTTTTAATCTAGTAGTCATTGTAATATCTTGCTAGATTAATTTATAAAAATGAGTACACATTTGATTTGCTTTTAATGAAGTTGAAATAAAAGCTTATGTCACTTGAATAAATATAAATCATTATATTCCTATTTTGTGAACATTGGGTATCTGAAGAAGGATATTTATTTGATCCAAAGTGTAATACTAAGTAGCCTTACTATCCCTTGTCTACTTAATGGTAGCAGAGTATTATTCAAAAATAATACCAGTAATTAAATACAGTGGGAAACCTGGCCTCTTAAAACCCTCTCATTTTAGTCAGCTTTATGCAATTATTAGCATCAGCTAAGATTTATTGATAGGGCAGTGGGGTTGCTATTTTAAGAGAGTGACAGCTGTTATAATATTAAATACCACTAAGGACTTGCAAATCCATGTTGCCCTGTGAGACTAATTCCATCATGTCTTATCACCCTGTTTACCTCATCGTCAGCCAAATTTCCAAGACTCCTAAATCATACCTCATACTTATTTCAATACTGTACTATATGTGTAATCCATCCCAGGTTCTTTATTCTTTCCAACTCTTCTAAAATCCTGTCATTACCAGCAATTGTGCCCCTTTAAATCTCAATTTCCAACATTCTTATCACTCCAGCCTATCTTTCCAATTTGCTTTGTATAGTAGTCTCAAGCTATTTATACCTTTTCCCTATGCCTGTTACCTTCTTGTCTGTCCTTCCTTCCTTACCGATTCTAGATGCCATAGTTCAAAATAATACTCTTGCCCTTTCTCTTCCTGTCAACCTTATCCACTAATTCTTAGCTGTCATTCTACCAACTGAACAGCACAGGAGAAAATAATACAATCAGGCTTTACATTTATGGCCACGTACTTCAAATTGGGTACTCAACAATCTTTGCTCTCTTTAATTGACTTTACCACATTTCCAGAGTACTATTGCATATAAATATCTCTTTCCTTGATTCTTTACCTTTGAGCTGATTGTCTCACCTCATTTTCTCATCTTTACCCTAAAATCTAACATGTTTCCTGCATCAATACCAGCATTTTCTGATTTCTCTTTCAGTCCAATAGCAAATTTGTTTATTTAAGAACAATCACCCTACTAGTGCTTTGAATCCCAGTATCTTTGATTTTCCTCTCCTGATTTTTACAGTCCATGTTAATTAGATAAGTAAATAAATAGGCCTTCCATTGACATCAAGTTCTCCTGAAACCACTGCCCTACCCATATAATTATCCATTCATTTTTACAGAGAACATATCAGAGTAATCTTCTCAGGTTACTATCTCAACTTCTTTGCTTCGTTTCCTCAATGCAGCTCTGCCCATACTATTTCATCAAAACTACTTTTATAATCAACAGTCATTTATGTTGCCAAATCTAATCTCTTTTTAGCCTCTCAGTGGCATTTCACACTTAAAACCCTCTGTTGGCACGTATTTGCTACTCTTCTATGTCTTTTCCTTGGGTTCGTTCCTAGTCTTTCTTTTCCTCAGTCAGTGCTTTCACCTTCAGTAATTTCATCTAGTCCCATATAATAACTATTTCTGTGTTGATCTCAAATTTATAAAAGTTCTGACCTTCACTTTGGACATCAGAACATTATAAATACTGCTGTATTGATACTTTGAATAAGAATCTAAACTCTCAAAACAACTCGATTTGTCTTACCATTCTTTCTCTTCATCAAAGAAAAAGTAAACTTTGTCTTCCTATCTCAATAAAATTACTTTTAACTACCCAACTATTCAAACCAAAACCTAACAAACAGTAAATTGATCAACAATTCGTATAGATTTTACTGCCAAAATATGACCCACATGTGAATACTTTCTGCCACTTCCACTGTCTCTGTGACAATGTCGATATCATTTCTCACATAGACAATTTCAACAGCCTCTTAAATGGCTTTTCAGCATTTATACTTTCCCATCCATACTTTTTTCACTTAGCAGCCAACATTGTCTTGCTAAAGCATAAATCATACCATGTCACTCCCTTACCTAAAACTCTCCAGTGACACACACTCTTAACCAGTGGGTCAAGGGACAACTCATAAGGGAAATTAGAAAATACTTTGTCAAATGAAAATGCAACATACCAAAACATGTGATCCATTGAAAGCAGTGCTCAGAGGGATGTTTATAGCTGTAAGCACCTACAATAAACAGGAAGAAAGGTATCAAATCAATAACTTTATACCTTAAAGAACTAGAAAAATTTAAAGCTGTCAGAATCGATGAAATAATGAAGACTAAATCAGAGATAAACAGAATAGAAAAACAACACAGAAAATCAATAAAAACAAAATTTGGTCCTCTGAAAAGATCAAGAAAATAAACCTTTAGCAGACTGACTAAGTTAAACAGAAGACTCAAATTACTAATATGAGAAATGAAAGTTAGGGACATGACTACTGAAATTTCAGAAATAAAAAGGATTCTAGGAGACTACTATGAACAATTATATGCCAATAAATTAGTTAACCTAGATGACATCGATAAATTCCTAAAAACAAATTACCAACACTGACTCAAGAAGAAATAAAAATTATCAACAGACCAATAACATGTAAAGAGGTTGAATTAGTAATTGAAAACCTTCCAACAAAGAATTCTATAATTTAAATAATGCCAGTTCTTTTTTTTTTTTTTTTTAGAGACAGAGTCTCACTCTGTCACCCAGACTGGAATACGGTGGTCTGATCTTAGCTCACTGTAACCTCAAACTCCTGGGCTCAAGTGATCTTCCTGCCTCAGCCTCCTAAGTAAGCTTAGGACTCTAGGAATGTGCCACTATGCTCAGCTATTTAATATTTTGTAGAGAATGGGGTCTTGCTGTGTGTATCCTATGCTGGCCTTGAACTCCTGGCCTCAAGCAGTCCTCCTGCTTTGGCTTCCCAACTGGAATTACAGGTATGAGTCACCATGCCCTGCCCAGTCCTTAAATTCTTTCAGAAAACAGAAGAGGAGAGGACATTCCAAACTCATTTTATGAGGCCACTATCACCTTGTAATATCAAACCATACAATGGTGTCATTACACAAATATTCTCTATGAATATAGATGCATAAACCCTCAACAAATCAAATCTAGCTGCACATTAAAAGCATTCCATACCATGACCAAATGGATTTATCCCAGCCAAGCATGGGTGGCTCAACATATGAAGATGAATGTAATATACCATATCAATAGAATGAGAGACGAAAAAGAAACATTCTTATTGGAACTGATGCACAAAAAGCATTTGACAAAATCCAATACCCTTTTATAATAACACTCAAAAAACTGGAAATAGAAGAGAAATGCCAAAACATGATAGAGTATGAATGAAAACCATATAGCTTACATAATACTCAATGGGGAAAGACTAAAAGCCCCCCTGCCCTACCAAGACCAGGAACAAGACAGGGATGCCTGCTTTCACTGCTTGTATTCAATATTGTACTAGAAGTTCTAGCTAGATCTAGAAATTATGCAAGAAAAAGAAAAAGATATCCAAGTGGGAATGGGAGAAACTAAACTATTTCTTCTCACAGGTGATTTGATCTTATGTATAAGAAATCCTACAGAATCAAGAAAATCATTAGAAGCTAATACAAATTCAGCAAAGTTGCAAGATACAAGATCAACAGAAAAATCAGTTGTATTTCTATATAATAGAAATTAACAATACAAAAGTGAAATTAAGAAAACAATGTCCTTTATAGTAGCATCAAAAAGATTAAAATTCTTAGGAATAAATTTAACCAAGGGAGGTATAAGACTGAAAACTACAAACATGGTTGCAAAAAATTAAAGATGGCCTAAATAAGTGGAAAGGTAATCCATGGTCATGGATTGGAAGATTTGATATGTTAAAATGGCAATACTCCCTGAAGTAGACTACAGATTTAATACAATCCATATCAAACTCCTAATGGCCTTCTTGCAGAAATGGAAAAGCTAACCCTAAAAATCATATGAAAATGGAAGAGACCCAGAATAACCAAAAAAATTAAATAAAGTTAGAGAACTCATACTTCCCAAATTCAAAATTTATGACAAACCTACATTATCGAAATCATGTGGTAGTAGCATAATGATAGACATGTAGACCAACAGAATGTAATCGTGTGTCTAGAAATAAATCCACCCATCTATGGTCACCTGAGTTTCATCAAGGGTATAAGACCATTCCATGGGGGAAAGTATAGTTTCTTAAATTGTTCTGGGACAATTGGATAAACACATGCAATATAATGAGGATGGAACCTTACTTCATATCATATACAAAAATTAATGGATTGGAGACCTAAATGTAAGAGCTAAAACTCTGAAACTCAGGAAAAAATGCAGGAGTCAATCTTGATGACCTTGGATCTTGCAGTGCATTCTTAAATATGATAGATATAAGCAATGGAAGAAACATTAGATAAATTGGACTGCAGCACAATTCAAAACTTTTGTGCATCAAAGGACACTCCCAAAAAGTGGAAAGACACCCTACAGAATGGGAGAAAATATTTGCAAATATCTTTGAGAGTCTACTATTCAAAATATATAAAGAAGTGTTACAACCAAACAACAAAACACAACCCAAATACAAATGACCAAAGGACTTGAATAAGCATTTCTTCAGAGAAGACCTACAAATGGCCAGTAAGCACATAGAAAGATACTCAGCATGATTAGTCATTAGGAAATGTAAATCAATACCATAATGAAATGCCACTTTATCCCCACTTGGATACCTAGAATCAAAAAAAAAACAATAAATGTTGGTGAGGATGTGGAGAAATTGGAACTCTTGGACATTTCTAGGGCAATGTAAAAGAATGCAGCCACAGTGGAAAACAGTTTGGTTGGTTCCTCAAAAAGTTAAACATAAGAGTTACCATATGACCCAGCAATTCTATTAGGTATATGCCGAAATGAATTTGTATTAGTCTGCTTTTGCATTGCTGTAAAATACCTGATACAGCATAATTTATACATAATAGATGCTTAATTGGCTTGTAGTTCTGCAGGCTTTATGGGAAGCATGGTGCTGACATCTGCTTACCTTCAAGGGAGGCCTCACAGAGCTTATGGGGGAAAGTGAAGAGGAGGCAGGCATGTTATATGGTGAAAGCAAG